GGATTTAAACCCAGTCCCTCTAGTTCTAGGCCAGGCCAGGAACAGGCCGTAGAAATGACAATTGTGCAAAACAAGGTTCAGACCGACTGAAAAAAAAAAAAAAAAAAAAGAAGAGTTGCACAAACTGAAGACTGTTGGATTTAAACCCAGTCCCTCTAGTTCTAGGCCAGGCCAGGAACAGGCCGTAGAAATGACAATTGTGCAAAACAAGGTTCAGACCGACTGTTTGCAGAGGGGTGTAAGGGAGAGGAGCAGTAACCACCTCCTTGCTGGGCAGGGGGAAGAAACCAAAGACACCCCCCCCCAAAAAAAAGCCTTCATGTGCCACAGGGGGTCAGACCCACGGCTGGTACAAGTGCACCACTTGTATTTCGCCAGCCAAAGACTTGCCCCTCTGGGCTTTAGTTTACCAATTACTTGAGAGCTAAAAGCCAGACCTCTGGTTTCACCAGTCTTAGCACAGCAAAGGTTATGTTTACAATTTATTAATTATTATCACTTATAATAATTGAACGCAAAGCCGCTTATTGCTCCTCTGTCCCCCGGGGTGACTCTCCCCTGCTCCAACACATTCCCACCCTTAGGGAAGATGTTGTTTATTATGCTGATCCCACAGCCCAGGAATAGTCTCCTGACAAAGCCCCTATTAACCTCAGAGTGTGGGCCTGAGTTTCTCAGAGTTTCCCACACTTTCTTCCCTATTTATGACATTCAAAGGGACCACAAAGGAAGCGTGCCTCACAACAGCCCACATTAGTGACGCTTTTTGGCTCTGCATTGTGATGACCAGCAATTCCTGTCCCGATAGACCATCTGGAGAGCTATTTTCCCAAGGAGCACATTGATCGATCAGTATTATGCCAGAGCCCTTTTAAAACTTGGGAACGTTATGCTCTTTGACACTAAATAGGTGTCTCGAGAGGGGTTGTCAGAAAGATTTTAAGCCATTTAAGGAAGGCACAGAAAAAATAAAAATCGTAATTATTTCTTTAAAAACACCATCAACAGCATTTGTAAGACAGGCTGACACGAACGTAGGAAATAGGCTAAAATAAAAATGCTCTAAAAGTGATATAGAAAGGAAAGCTTTAAGCTATCAAGTTGTGTGCTGTAAGTATAGCCCCAGATGCACTGCTTTTTAGATCTGCATAACCTAGACAATGAAATTCTGGCTTTCTGTACTCTTCTCTGACAGCCCATCTTCCCCCAGACCTGTTGCTGCATTGCGATACACTGGGCTCTGCCCCACGGAAAGCTGCCAACTGGTATTACAAGTAGTAGCAGGTTTTGTGCAAACAGCATGTGCAGTAAATCTGCACCTGGGCTGAAATCACCACCTCCAAACCAGAAGCAGAAAGCCCCCTGGCTAGTGGTCCTCCAGCTGTTTTGATTTATGATAACAAACACAAGCCTCCTGATGATAGTCATGGGGTTGGTAGCTTACCTCTCTTGGATCCTCTGTGGTTGTTCCTCAGCTCAAAACAACCTATGGTGCAGAGACTGCACACCAAAGCCCAGGGTCAAATGGTGAGCACCTGCAGTTGGAGACAATTAACAAGGTGGTTCTTGCCTTAGGAAAATCTGGGACTCCTGCCTGGAGTGAAGGTCTGTAAGTACAGACATGGACAATTGTTTCCAGATCTCTGTTTCCCCTTACACCCATCAATATCTATACCAAGGGAGAGAGTGGAGACTCCTCCCTGTTTTCACGCGTGATTTTGAAGACTGCATCTTCATGATGCAACCCACGATTGTGATGTGATTTAGAGAGGAACAAGACCACTAAGAAAGCAAGTCTTTGTCCACAGCATAGCTGTCATCTCTCAAGAGCGGGTCCAGATTTCACAGCGTCCTCCAAAGAAAGGAATTATTGTGTGACATTATTTAGTCAACACCACATGTTTGGCAATTTGGGGGATTTGTTTCTTTTAATCCTTCATTCCAAAAACAGGGAAACCCCTGCTTCTGAGCCTCACACAATCAATCTTTCATCCTGGCTCTGCAGCGACAGGCAGAGAGAGGCACAAACTCCTCCCATGGATGTGAAGGACAGCGACAAGGACTTGGATCACAAGTGTGTTTCAGCGGGACAGACTATTGCACTTCCAGTTGAACTTTCAAAGAGCCCAAACTAGTTACAGGTTTTTAACAAAGAGCAACTGGACTGTCTGAAGCACAGGGTTATTTTTTTTCCTTACTGAAATCCTTGCAGAAAGTTCACACTGCACCCAGTTCCATAATAAATATAATCTAGGGACAGCCTTAGTCTAGACAATCTATTATTCTGAAGCATCAGTCAGCAAATATTGTTGACATTAATTTTTCAGGCCTTAATAATCAAACGAAACGAGACGGAGGGAAGATTTGTTTCTCTTTTATCCCTCAGCAGTATACAGAGGGTAGGCGAAGGAGGCAGAGGGGGGAACTGCAGATATGCTACCTTTTACACCCACAGGGAGAGGGGGAGAGACCCCGGGAGTTGGTGCGCCCGGAGGGCTGTTGTTGTGCCTGGTTCACCATTCACATCAGATGGTGTGAGCCCACAGCTCCCAGGATTTCCCCCATCACCCCATTCACCGTGTTAAACTGCCAACAAAGGACGTGTGCCTCGGTGGGGCCTGAGAAGAAAGCTCACGCCTGCTGCACCATCTGCCCGGCACTTAAAGGAAGGGATAATGCTTTAATCAGTGGGAGTTGGTTTAGCCCTTTAGGAGTCCAGGGGCATTGTGCTGGGGATAGGATGGCATTATTTAAAACCACTCATTTCATATTTCCAGAACTGAAAATTGGGTCAGAGCCTCCCTCCCATATCCCTGTGCCTGCTGCTGCTGCTGCAAACACGTTCCTCCCCATACGGTGCGTGGCAGGACCTGCTGTCCATCCCATCCCTTGTGACCCCCGAGAGAGACGCACAAAGCCCCGGGCTTGACTTCAGGCTCCAATAATGGCACAAGGACACGCAGCCAGGGCCATCCCAAGCAGTACTGCTGATTACAAGCTGACAAAATAATTCAGGGAACTGATTTTGAATCCTCCCTGTTCAATTATAGGTTTTTTGACAACGATCAACAATTAGAATTGTTACACCCTCAGTCATCCATCGAAATGTAAAATGTCTTTGGGCTGGAAAGGGAGGAGGGGAGAACGTCTGACCTATGAAAATCACTGCCATGAGAAGGCAGCAAGTTAAAAGGGGCTTTGTAAGCTCAGGTTAATAACTAGTTACAGGATCATCCTTTGCAGGATCATATCCTTTTATGCAACAACCCTATGTGTGCTGGAACACGTTGCTATCTCTGTACCCACAGACACAGGTTTCAGCCCTGGCTTATTGAGAGGGATGCTGAGGGCAGGTGAGACAGGCAGACTGCAGCTGACAGTGAAATGGAAGGTTTGCTTTCTGGTTTTGAAAAGCAGGCAGAGTGAATAGGTGGAGTTTTCATGAATACTGTTGTGTTAAGAAACAGGTATTCAAAAAAAATACACAGACACAGGTTTCGGCCCTGGCTTATTGAGGGGGATGCTGAGGGCAGGTGAGACAGGCAGACTGCAGCTGACAGTGAAATGGAAGGTTTGCTTTCTGGTTTTGAAAAGCAGGCAGAGTGAATAGGTGGAGTTTTCATGAATACTGTTGTGTTAAGAAACAGGTATTCAAAAAAAATACCCCTCCAACCTGCTAGCCTTTTAGCAAGAATCTAGATTGACTCCCTGTTCTAGCCTCTGACCATGGAACATTCATTGAGGAAAAATAATTGCACCCATGCAAAATTCCCCTTAAACCCATAGAGCCCCACATGCTGCAGCCGAAACAGATGTACCATAAAGCATAACTGGGAATTTGTCAATGGGAGGCCTCACGTGCCTGACGGACAGATCCTGAATGTGACTAGCTTTGTATTGGATTGTGCTGGGGGGGGAGCACTGGACCTGAGCAGGCAACCTAGAATAGCCTGGAAAAAAAAATAAAATATCTCCAACAGGTAGCTTTAATCCTGGATTCTATCTGGTCCTTTCCACTTCGTTACCTGTGTTCATCGCAAATACACGTGGCACATACACTGAGAAAGCCTAAGATTTAGTGAAGCCCCAGGATATCCTGGCACCTGTATTTACATCCTACAAATGGGATAATACAAGCAAAGTAATAGACAAGAATTGACTTTTCACTGCATCTCACTTGTCTGTAAAGGGAAAAATATATTTAGGCCCTTTACGTGGAGGCTTGGGACTAAGGGAACAGCGAGGCATTTGCAAAGTGGCATGAAATTAAATAGGATGTCTTTGGGAAAGGCATCATAATCATTACATGTCACGGGCTGCCATAGGAAAACCCAGATTACCCAAACAAAAGCAAGGAAGAGCTCTGAATATAACTTATAGAGGGACTTCAAGTATTTAAACCATGTGGAGGAAAATATTTCAAGCTAACTGCTTAGTGCAAATTGTTTTAAAGGTTCTTCCATCGATTTTAGTCTTTAGTTGCCTGAAAATTATCTGGTACTGTATTCATCTAAGCATGGTTTAATGTCAATGAAAGGTTTTAGTCCCTCTAATTCTGCATCTTTTCCTTTTCAACCTCTCTTTTGGGCGCGGGCACAGAGCATTCTCTTCCTGGGATCAGTCTTCTGTGCTTAATTTCACCCGCAGCCTGGGAAAAGGCAGCACATTGAGATGTTGACGTTCCCAACATCAGGCAGAAGTTTGATTATAATGACGGCAAACGCTTTCCCACGTCCTTACCCCAGCGCCGTGATGCCAAGCCCTATTGTATCACACACTCCCCAGTCCACCTGCTCCTTTGGGAGCAGGGTATTATCCCCAGGCAATTCACAGTCAATTTGCCATGCTGTAATAGATGCTTTCTCTATTGTCCCAGGGCACGCATGGATTGGCTATTGACTGTGGGAAACTCAAAGTCGCTCAGGACCCATACATTTGTATGCAGCCACCGGGTATAAATAGAGGAACTCCCTGCTCCCTTCTCTACCCGCACACCAGCAAGCTCTGAGCCCAAACCAGCACTTGGGATAATGGCACCCAGCGCTCTCTCCCTGGAAATCCTAACACCCAAAGAGAAGAACAGAGTAAGTATCTGCTGCCCCTGAGACCGCGAGGGCAAAAAGCCGAGCCGGGCCGAGCTCCGTTAGCAGCAGGTTATACAGGGATGGGAAAAGGGGAAAGTTTCACTGCTAACTGTCCTCTTCCCATTTTGTGTTACAGCTCAGGAAACCCATTGTAGAGAAACTGCGACGTGATCGGATTAACAGCAGCATCGAGCAGCTGAAACTGCTCCTGGAGAAGGAGTTTCAGAGACACCAGCCCAACTCCAAGCTGGAGAAAGCCGACATCCTGGAGATGACCGTCAGCTACCTGAAATACAGCCGAGGTGAGCACAGCCCTCGATCACCCTTACTGCCCTTACTTTTAGGCAAAACTCCAGCCTGAGTCTCCCTGTGTAACACTTCTCTCTTCTTCTGCCCTTGCAGCTTTTGCAGCATCTGCCAAAAGCCTACAGCAGGATTACTGTGACGGCTACGCCTGGTGCCTCAAGGAAGCTCTGCAATTCCTGTCTCTCCATTCAGCGAGCACAGAAACCCGGATGAAGCTCATCTGCCACTTCCAGAGGTCACAAGCAGTGCCTAAGGACTCTGGTTCTTCTTCTGCACCCGCTTCCACCCACCAGCCCCCTGCAAAACAAGCAGCACTGAAACCCTCCTGCAGCCTCTGGAGGCCTTGGTAGGCCAAGAGAACACTTATGTGTTTCCTGGACATTTGCTCGTATTCTGGAGGAGATCGTGACTTGCTATCCAAGTCCCCCCGCTCCTCTCATGAGTAGGGAAGAATGTTTTCCTTTTGCAGAGCATTACTATGCTTGGATGTCCACCTCCCTTCTTCCAGGAGGACTGAAACGATCCCACCACGTGGAGAGAAAGTTATTCTAAAAGAATGTGAGATGTAATCCTCCTGCTTGGAGGAGTGAGAGGAGTTGTTCAGAGAGGAACACCGACTGTTCTTAACCTTAGTGAGGTTGTACGTGTACATCTGTGGGGAAAGTGGTAACTTCTAAGATATTCAGGCTAGCTTTTTCAAACGTGTCCGTTCAGGAGGAGCCTTTTCCTCTGTCTTGTCCCACTGGGGACTCCCATGTCCCAGGGTATCCACACCTCTGCTGCCCAGCTGTGGAGACCCCACGTGGCCCAAGCAGAGCAGCTACTTGAACTGGACACATTTGAAAATGTAGCTTTCCTACAGGTGCTGTAATGGGTTCTATGATATTTGTAGACTGTACTGAGCGTGCTGTGACTATGGTTAAACCATAACTCAAACTACGTAGAGGAAATTCCTCAGGATGTCTTGCTCACAAAATCAGTGTTCTGTTTGTGAGGTTCAGGATATGTATGCCTTTTATAAAGGCAAGAGCTCATTTTTATATCCTTATAGGAAAGAAAGTTACGGCTGTGTTGTCGATTTTACAAGAAGTATTTATGAAAGTCTTTCATGAAAGGCAGGTGTACAAATTGTATTTACTCTTTGGTACCCTACCACCAGGGGAAAATGTGAATTCATTACTGTCCTTGGAGGATGCTGTGATGTGTTATGTGTGAGCTGCACCAATTGTATAACCTCTGCCAGAAGTTATATCTTGAACTTCAGGAGCTGCAGAAATTTTTAACAGTACAAAAATAAATAAATTCTGGCAGAGGTTATCTTGAACTTCAGGAGCTGCAGAAATTTTTAACAGTACAAAAATAAATAAAAATCTAATTAATAAATCCAGCAAGTTATTCTTTCTTGAGTAGTTTGCATAGCTGATTTCCCTGTACTGTCTGGGGTCATACGACACGAGACAAAGGTTTCAGTAAAGCAAAGATATTCAGAATTGGTATTTAATTGACTCACCAGCTCTGTGTCCCTTCAGAACCCCTGCAATGCTGCTTTCCACATACACAGCTCCGGAATATCCAATCCTAGTGCTCTCACTGCAAGATAAATATAGAGGCATCCCTAACCCACAAATTCTTTGGAAATTTGGAGCAGAGAGACTCGTCCAGGAAGGTCACAGCAAGGGTGAAGGCAGGAAGATTTATGCCCAACTCCCAAACATAGCAAATATGTTTAATAGATAAATTTCGCCAAGGCCCTTTGTGCTACATTTCATGTTCTCGGGCTGTGCACAGAAAAACCTGAAAATTAGGGAATTTAAATCGGGGTTTTTTTTTTGCCTAAATGAGAGATATGTACAGCTGCTCCGTCTGAATATGTATATATACATATATACGTGAGGTAGTCATGACAGGGAATGCCAACAGCAGCCCTGCCCGCGCCCCTCAGGCCCTGGGTGACTTTGGCAATGACACTCGCCCCTTGGGGTGAGACACTCGCCTCCCCCCCGCCCCGGGGGTTATCACACTCACCCCTTGGGCTGTGACACTCGCCCCCCGGGGTGTAACACTCGCCCCTTGGGCTGTGACACTCGCCCCCGCCTGCCTGAGGCGGGGGGGGGCGGCGGCCTTCCCTGGCGCCCGCCTCAGCGCCCGCCTCATTCGCATAATCTATGCGCCCGGCCTTGTTAGTATGTAGATGTATGCGCATACATTTGCATACCGATGAGGCCGGGCGAGGAGTGGGTCGCGCTCAAAATGGCGGAGCGGGGCGGGCGCGGCAGCGGCGGTCACGGCAGTTTGGACAAGAGCATCACCCTCCCGCCTGACGAAATCTTCCGCAACCTGGAGAACGCCAAGCGCTTCGCCATAGACATCGGTAACCGGGCGGGGGCCGCGGGAGGAGGCGGCGGTCGGCGGGAAGCGGGGGTGCCGCGGTGGGGGAACGGGCGGCGGCTCTCGCCCGCTGAGAGGACTGGCGGGGCGGGCTCTTGGCGGGCGCGGGGCACGCTGGGAAATGTAGTCCCCTGAGCGCCCGGCAGCGTCCAGGCAGAGGCGGCGAGCGGCACTACAAGGCCCAGCGTGCCGTCCGCCGCGGCTAACGGGCCGCGGGGGGAAGGGGGCTAGGGACGGCCTGGGGCTGTCCTTGGCGGCCGAGGGGGCAGAGGCGGCCGGCCGGAGGGGAAAGGGGCCCGCTCCCCCGCCCGGCGAGGCCTGGTGGCCGCAGAACGATGCGCCCGTTGCTCTAGGCCCGACTGAGGGGCAGCGCTGCGGTTCCCCCCCGCCCGCGCCTGACCCTCATACCTGACCGCGGCGAGCAGGGCACTGCGTGGGTCCCTCCGTGCTCCTGAGACAGGCCTTGAAGAAAAAGAGGGGTGGGGAAAGCTGCCGATGCCCCCCTGGCCGGGTGGCTGCAGAAAGGAGCGGGTTTGGCATGGGCTGGGGGCCTGTAGCAGTAGCTCACTGCACTTGCTTCCTCAGCCACCCCTAGAAACACCCAGTGTCATGTGCATAAGCCTGAAAACGTAACATTTCTGGGTTTGCAACAGCCTGCGCCAAGGGACAGATAGAGCAATGCACATCAGTGTGACACCTGAGCACCACAGTAGGGAATGGTGCTGGTGTGGGCGGCCACGCAGGGACACAGCTGAGCTGGGCCTGTTAAAAATAGTTTCACCTGTGCAGGGATTAGCATTCTTTCTGTGGAGTTCTGGAAAACCAGAAGCTCCAGTTCACACATTCTGCTTCTGCTTTGCAGTCACTAGGTCAGTGGAGCTATTTAGTAGGGAAGACACAGTGTTCTTCAGCCACAATAGCACAGTGCGAGCCTCCATTAGTCCTCTGGGTAACACTGCTCTGGGTGGTGTAGACTTACTGTGTAATGGGAAGAATATATGCACCATGATACACAATCTTGTCCTATCATAAGTCTACTAAACTCCTTCAGAAGCTACATGTTTCATGCCTGTTAAAATAACAGCTGGAATTGGTCCTTTCTGTGGGTCAGAGTGGAATTAGAATTGTGGGATTAGTTATAAAGCCTCATTGCATGTCTCAGCTGGTGCTCTGGATGGATTTAAGCCTTTAAAAACTGGGAGAGGAAGGGGAGAATGGATAAAGCGGAGGTTTACATACCATTTATCTGGTGATAAATTAATTGCTGGAGCGCCTGTATCATTATCAGTGTTGTACAAACAGTATGACATTCCAACACAAGCTTTACAATTCCTCTACTTAAAGTTTGGAAGGAAACTTTTCCTCATAATATAGAGCTACAGAGTTTTCTTAGGTTTTAAGAAAACAAAAGCTAAAACCTCACCTTTAAGCAATGAACCAGCAGAGCAGAGTTTGGATTTTGTTTACAAGAAGCTTGAAAACATTGGCTAGTACACTGAAATAAGATCTGAGGTCAGGAAAGCTTTATTGCTTTTGTTACTATAAGTGTCTGTCAGTGATCACTCTAAGTTGACCTTACTTGAATTTTACCAGAGAAAGCTGCCTATTTTTCACCTACAGATTGCAAAAATTTTTCCTGTTTATTTGAGCACTATTGATGAAATGAGAGTACTGTTACAAAGGCAAAGCTACAAGCAGTAGCTGATTATTTTTCACCTGCCTGTGCTGCACTTCTTGATTACACTTGTTTATAAGGCAGGGCATAGGGCTACTGAATGTGGCCGTTACGATCTAACATTACTAGGTTTTTATTGACTTTTGGGACTTTAATTTTAACCTAGTAGTTGGTCAGTTACTTCCTGTCTTGTGCACAAGGTGTTCTAGGAGATACATGGTGAACTTGCTGAAGGGGGTAACGTCCCAAATCTTTGGCAAGAGGCGAGTAGTGCCTGCAGCCTTAAGTTCAAGTACACATTAGGCCTGTAGCAGTGGGAGATACGGACCACCTGACTGCCTTGTGCTCCTGTTCCATGAGCACGGATGCAAAGTTAGAACTGACTTTCTGTACAGATAAGGGTGGTTATGGGCTGCAGCCCAGAGTACTTTTTTTTTTTTACCCAGTTAAAATTAAGGGGTTTTCTCCAATAGCCGAAGTAGCTTAGAGGTTTATGGAGCAAACCAATACCTTAATTGGATCCTGATACTCAGGACTAGTTGAAGAGGCATTTTTCTTTCTGAAGAGGGAAAAAAATTTAAAAGCTTGTTTTAATAAAAATAAGCAGGCTTTGGCAACCTCCTACTTTCAGGCTCAAATATCTACTCGATTTCAAGATACCAGAGGTATCAGAAACACCAGTGGGTACTGTTTTGTCCCAAGGAAAATTAGTGAAGTTATTCAGTGTAACTTCATAAATTCGCTTTTGCATGTTGGATGCAAAGATAGGGCAAGTGATTAAGTTCTATTTCAAGATAAGAGTGGGAAGTTTTATTGTCTTGATGTAAGCAGACCCAAGGTTTGAAGAGAAGAGGGTGATGGGGCTGGTCTGCTCGGACTTGCATATCACTATGGCAATATCACTTACTGCTATGCTTGAGGAACATCATTCCCAGTGTTCTTTACCCCAAAGCCAAGAATAATCTTGCAAAGTATTTGTTATTCAGTACATAAAGTCATCTTCTAACCAGCTATGAATTTTTAGCTTGTCCTTGGAACTAGGTTAGGAATATTTACTTAAGTGTTTCTGATGAAACACTTTAGTTGTGCATAAGGCATGCATTGCTCAATTGTGGAAAAACTACTTATAAAATAGTCTTATAAGCAGCAGATTTGGGGGTTTCTATACAAGATAAGTGATCAGTGTGCTAGCCTAGCTAATTAAGTACTTATTTCTGCTCATCTTCAGTCATTCCCACATCAGTTGGGCATGATCTCAGTTTGTGGAGCCTTTTCCCCCCTAAGTATTGTGTTTGGAGTTAACTGTGCCGAGTCAGTTTCCAGACACAGGTTCCTTGGCTCACTGCATTAAGCATTTAGCTGAGGAATTCTTAAAACCCAAGAACTCTCAGGTAAAGCATACATAAACATAAGTTATATTGTTTGCTCTAAGGTGAGGCATTAATCGTATCTTGTAATCTTTTTATTAAAAGGTGGTTCATTAACCAAGTTGGCTTATTACTCAACTGTGCAGCACAAAGTGGCAAGAGTGAGATCCTTTGATCATTCTGGAAAGGTGAGAATTGTATCATAATCAGTTGCATGTAATTAACTTCTAAGAGTGAAGTACTGGACTGGCTTCTCACAGCGGAACAGACATTTCATCTGAAACCCAGCTAGTAACCTGTTCTTTATGAACTATAAGAAAACTCTAGATAAAGTTACAAGTATTCTGTAACATCTGTTACTCAACTGAATTTATTTCAAGCACACATTCTAGCATGCACTGACACTTCCAGCCACCCCTAAGCATTTATACTGCAGCTCAGGTGAGCGTGTGGCTCCTGTTAATAACCCTTTGCTACATTCCAGGGGAAACTAGCTATTAGCACGCGTTTGGCAATTACTTTTGCTTTGCAAGCTTGATGATACACTATACGTGTTTTCTTTACTGAAAGACTGATTGCAGGGCTTCAGAGTTTGAAGCCCGTGTGCAGGCAAACTCATGTTCCTTGCCTTCTTGGAAGTGATTGAATATCCAGGTAGTGTTTGAAATAGTTATTTTCTAGACAGGTAAGTATAGTACTTTTGTAAAGACCCCACACTCCCATGAAAACATACCTTTTCTCTTACAGAGATACATCATGCATTTCTAATGCATGGGAGAATGGATTATATTCTCAGTTTAAGGAGTATTAAGATATGTTGAAACTATGTTCTTTGCAAGTGGCTTGGGAAGTTATGTTTTTAATAGCATTAACACAGTTCCAAGGCAAAGGAAACAGAAGGATTGATGTTCAGTAGTTTAGCATATAACCTTATTTCTCAAGGAAGGAGTTTGAATAATCTGTAAGAAATTCTTTTCTCTTTTAAAGGACATAGAAAATGAACCTTTGTATGAAATATCAGTTCAGGAGGAGATTACAGCCCGACTTCACTTCATTAAATTTGAGAACACTTATATTGAAACCTGCCTAGATTTCATCAAAGACCATCTTGTCAACACAGAGACAAAAGTCATCAAAGCTACAGGTGGCGGTGCCTATAAATTCAAAGATCTTATTGAGAAGAAATTGGGGTTGAAGTAAGTGGAACTGTTTAAACTTATAGGAGTGTATTTCTTCTTTGAATAGAATTTAGCTAACTTTCTGTTTTGCCCATCTGCCCTCAAAAACCATCTACACCACAAGAGTAAAGCAGCAGAATGTGTGCATGGGTCTTGGTCAGACAAGGCTGAATTGACTTGTTTCTGAACATAAGCTGCAAAAGATAACTCTATCATTGCCTGACATGGCAGAGGAGCTGGAACGGAGCCAGCAGACACACAGGGTTCAGGAGAAAAACAGTGAAAAGAGGAAAGCATGGTATTATTGCAGCTTTTTTTCTGTAAAGGATCTAACTTGCACCTACTCCATTTTTAAGTTAAATTACTCTCTAGCATGATAACGGTTTTTACTTCTCACCTCACAACTGGAAGCATTTTAGCTATGAGATCCTAGCTATAAGTAGCATCCTTTTGGGGCATTGTGTTGAATTCTACTGGAGTAGAGATTCAAATACACAAAGCCTACAGTGGTATATAAAATTAACTAATATTTGAAATAAAATAGTAGACTTCATTACTAAGAAGAATTTTAATTGAGACTCTGATCAGTTACTGTGGTGAAGCATGTTAAAGTGTGTCAGTCTTTCTACTTGAAGTTTAAGGATGACATCCACAAGACAACTTGATTATAAAAGCAAGAATACCCCAGATGTATCCCATCTCTGTAGTTGCCCAGATTGTCAAATTGGAATTCTAAAAGCTTCTAGCATTTTTCTGTGCTTGCTAAGAAGCAAGTAATTAATACAAATAATGACTTACTACTCCAACCTAAACTTCATGCAGAAGCACAGGCTTATGGGAGACTAAAGGGCAGTCTCATGAATTTACAACATCATAAATTTACTACTCAAACATCTTTATCAAACGTTATATACTAAAAAGCTGCTGTAAGCATAGATAAAGGTATCATTAATTTACACCAATGTAAAACATTACCTGGTATTTCTGGCAAGACCATCAAGATACCTCTCAGGCTGCAGTTCTGCATAGCACACACTTCAGCCTCTGAGCTATTGTGCTCATCTTCTTTTATACTGCTCTTTCAAATAACTTTCTTCTTCTGATAGGTAGGATTCTGTTGATTTTTTTTATTTTTTTTTTTTAAAAACCAGCAGACATTGGCTGTTCCTAACGATCAATTAAGCAAGACAAGGAGGCAATTCCCTCCTTTTCTCATGTGGTGCACCTGGGTTTTGTTTCTTTGGTTTTTATTTGGTAATTACATACTTAATTGCTATGCAAAAAGCAGCACCTTCTCCATCGTGACACACAGAAAGCATGCTGTATTAATTGAGATGTGTATGATATTTCATGTAAGAAGTGTAGCATATTTCATTTAAGAAGCTTACCATGAATCAGTAACAATACATAAGATAGAGAAGGTTACATAAGTCAGTTATGTGTTAGCTGACTTAACTACATCATTCATCTTAACTAAATCATGCGTCGTGTTCCCAGACTCCATACTGAGGGTAATGTCTTGTTGTGAATCCTATTACTCTTGTGAGAAGTCTTTTTTACCTATGTTTGGTTATCCCAATAGTAGGCTCCTTGCAGTCACTTTACTCTGTAATAAAAAAAAAATGCTGAAAATTTGAGGGGGGACTTTTTTCCTTTATTGAGAAGGAAGGGGAAGAGCTACAGAACATTATTCCATGTTAGGAAAGTTGTATTGTTAGGTTAATTTCCAGATAAATTTTCTGACCTGCCTGTTGCACAGGTGCAGGTGTATTTGTGGTAGCACTGGGGCACTAAAGAGGCCGTGTAAACAAGCAAACAGGGGAGCATGACAGCATGATTAATGTAAGATTAAAGTTACTGTGTAACTACAGTCTAACTTCGGACTGTGACTGGTACAGAAAATGAGCACTGGAACACAGGCAGACAAAAGTTTCGTGTTTTTAGAGATCTGGACTTTTTCTGTGCGGGGGGTGTATGTTACTGTCTCCTCTTTAAACTCTGAAAACTACTGTTCTAAAAGCATACTTGCTTATCAATAGGACTGTCACATTTATGTAAAGGGTTTTTTTCTCCCCCTTGCCCTCAGAGTAGATAAAGAAGATGTAATGACCTGCCTAATTAAAGGATGCAACTTCGTGCTGAGGAACATACCCCATGAAGTATTTGCATACCAGAAAGATTCAGATACAGAATTCCGTTTTCAGACGAACCACCCAAATGTTTTCCCTTATTTACTGGTGAATATTGGCTCTGGGGTTTCCATAGTGAAGGTAAGAGGTTGCTAAACGGTTTTATTGTAGAATTTGACAAAAGCAATCTGAAACTTCTTACTGTTTTACATTTGTAGTTGTTTCTTCTTGGGTAATACAAAGTTTAGAAAGAAAATGATGATTTTTATTTTTTTTAAATTCAAATTCTTGCAGAGGTATGAATGCTTTTCCATTCACTACCATAGTTTCTTTTTAATCACATTAATTTGGTGTTTAGAAAAGTTGTTATATTAACTGGTGAGGACAAAGGCTGTCAGATCAGTGATTTTTCATATTTGTTTGTTTTGGTACACTGTTGAGTGGACCAAATTTAATGTCTTTATTTAGATTATTGGCCAATAATTAAATACAAAGATTTCAGAAACTGCTTGTGGTGTTAAGTATGTGGAACATGTACCTCTGGAGAACTTCTCACCTGATATTTCTGCAATTAAATAGTTCTGCATACACTAAATCCACTGTTAGAAAAACCCCACATGCTCTCATATCTAACTGTTTGTTTACAGTTATAGGACTTTCTAGACAAATCTGCCTTGTTTTATTGACAGGTAGAAACAGAAGACAAATTTGAATGGATTGGAGGGAGCTCAATTGGAGGTGGAACCTTCTGGGGACTTGGAGCTCTGCTCACAAAAACAAAGGTATCGACCTGTCTGTTTTCAGGGGTGTGGAATTAAGTGAGATGCTAAGAGGAGGCTTGAAATGTTGGAACACCAAGCTCTTTGCATAGGGAGAAATAATTACTTTCAGTAACGTCTGTGTGGGAAATCAGAAGTCCAACATTAGTATCCTGGAAGATGAAAAAAACCATGTCTGTCTTTTGTTGTACCTTTTATTCAAAGACTTGCTGCACTTGTGCAGAGACAGAGCAGGCAGTTCTGCAACGCTCAGGACCATTTTAATACTCTCATTAGATGCTTGTGGTCCCAGACTGTTAGATAACAAGGCTGAGTCCTTGACTTATGGTCCTATTTTCAAGACTTCTGATGCATAACAGGAAGCTTTAAATTCAAAAAGATACTAGTAGAGCATAGGTTATTATGTATTATAAGGTACTCATCAGTGGTAAAATAGGAATTGTACTTGGGACTCAAGGAGTTTGTCAACAAGGACAAATAACGTCTATAATGCAGAGAAGAGTCTCCTCAAAGTGGCCTGGTACTCATCAGTGGTAAAGCAGTAATTGTACTTGAGACTCGAGGAGTTTGTTAATAAGGACAAATAACGTCTACAATGCAGAGAAGAGTCTCCTCAAAGTGGCCTGTTAATTTTCTTTACCCTTCTTCAACATGAAATGCCTGCCTAGTTCCTGCAATATTACCTGCAGAAGAAAAGCAGAGCACCCAATTACTGCAAAGTGTCTGGGATGAGAGAGGAGGAATCCTAACTCTTTGTTACATGTGATGCTTTCTGGGGTTCATCACTTGAATCCCCAGTTGGTCATCTGCCAGAACAGCCCTGGTTTAGTACTGCTCTGCCCGACTCAGCTCTTAAATCATCCTGGTTTTTCCTGTCTCAAAGATCCATGTGACTTAAATAGGTATCCCTAAATGTCAGCGGCGGAGAAAAAGCTAGAGTTACATGTGCACCAAGTAAGAAAATGTCAAAGGGAAGACCCATACTTAAAATATTTTATTTGATGCTTTTAAAAAAAGAAATCTTAGAACATGACAGTGTCTGCTCTTAATTCTCTCTGATTTTGTAGAAGAAGAAATTAGGGTTAACAGACTTATAAATTAAGTATTGGTATAATGGAGATTGTGGGCAAGTTTAATGTCAGAGACATTAATGCATTTCTGCAACAGTGAAGGCAGACTTAATCTTTTGGGTTTTAGACATTTTTTTTCTTATGCCTTAAGAAGACATAGTTACTGTGTTCCTATCTTCATTCCAAGATAAGAGATACGTGAGGCTTCTGACTATTTCATGTGTGCTGACTCATTTCTAGTTTTCACGAGAAATTCAACAAATTATTTGCAGATAATTACAGATAACCGAAGAGCATGGTTGTGATTTTCATCATTAAAGGAGCTCCATTTAAGATCAGTCTGTCTGATAAGATATGGACTCTGGATAAGTCCTTGTAATTAGAAATAATATACCTTTTGCTGACAGGATTGGTTCTAAGACAATCCAAACCCCCTGATTTTGGTCAGTAAAGATGCTGCAGAGCTCTGGGTTTATGGGTCAAGGTTGTCTGGCTTTTCAGGAAAGCCAGAGTAACTCTGCTTCTCGTCCTCAGAAATTTGATGAGCTGCTGCAGCTGGCTTCAAAGGGCCAGCACACAAACGTGGACATGCTGGTGAAAGACGTGTACGGAGGCGCCTACCAGACCCTGGGGCTGAGTGGGAATCTGATAGCCAGCAGCTTTGGGAAATCTACTACAGCAGATAAAGGTATTGGTATAGAGAAGATTGACCCAAGATTTGCTGTACAGTTACTACTTTATATTGCCCATCAGCATGGATTTCCTGCTTGTGCCAGCCTCGTGGGGACACTTAGATGGGTGGAAAAATAGTTGGCAGATTCATCAGCGTAATCGTATCTTGCCTTCCCCTTTTCCCAGAGTTATGGTGCTGGGCTGAGAGCAGACACAGGATGCTGCTTGAGGTGCTTCAGTTATTTGGAGCTGTTGTTTGAAACTACTGAGGAGAAGAAATACAACTATCTCCTCTGGCCCTTGGGAATCTGATGTTTATAGTGATCTAACAAATGGAGATGGAAAATTACTACCAGTCTTTTTCATGCGCTTGCCTGCACAATATTTTATCAATTAAAAATACTACATAGTTCTACTTTACAAGCAGGCATTCACATTTTCAGTTTGGGATTGCATGTGGGAAATACATGTGGCTTTCTTGGTCCAGAAAAGGACCCATGGCAGCGATTTACTACAATTTACAGTTTTAATTGCAGTACTGGATCTCGAGTCGAGGTGGATGGATGAACCCTCATCGATGGTTCCTAAAGAGAACTGCAGTTCTCACCTTTTGCTGCTGGCCCTTCAAGCAGGTTTCTTTCCAGCAATATTTCACAGGGGTTTGGTGGTTTTTTCGTGGTATCTTTGGTGAAATACACACTACTTATTTTAGAAAAGACTTTTGGCTGAGGGAACACCTTTCTTCTACACGCATAAAGAAACTGGTCAAATTCCTTTGGTTTTGTTTGTTTGTGTTTTTTTTTCTCCAGCTGTAGGTGATCTGTTAGAAAAGTACAGTCCATTTGAGCACTCTTCAGCTGTGGTTAATTTGGTTTACCATTTCTTTGCTTTAAGAATTCTCCAAAGAAGATATGGCAAAAAGTTTACTCCATATGATCAGCAATGACATCGGCCAGCTCGCCTGCCTCTATGCCAAACTCCATAACTTAGATAAAATCTATTTTGGAGGATTCTTTATTCGGGGTCACCCTGTTACCATGCGCACAATAACCTACAGTATCAACTTCTTCTCCAAGGTAATGAAAACAGAGATTTTTCCTAATAGCAAAGTGACATGTTTAGTTACCTTTCTAGGTTGTTGGGAGACTTGACTTTGTGTGCAAATTAATTTATTAAGCTCAGAGGGCTGCTGTTTAGGTAGGTAAGGCAGGGCTATAAACATCTATTGTGGGAGGGGTAAAATAAATGTGAGTTGCCTGGGAGTTCTGTCTGACCTCTTTTTCTCTCACCCTCCCTCCCTCTCTCTCTTTATTATTTTTTGATTGACAATCTGTCTTGTAGCTGCCAAATAATGAGTTTTCACTATTTTCTTAGATAGCTACCATTGTTATTCAATTCCTCTTGCTGACTTGCATCTATTTCTTTTCACCCCCTAGGCTGTGCAGTGTGGGATTGTCCTACTGAGACAGTTAGCAGTTAGTGTCAATGGCATTTTTTTGTTATTTGCTTGTTCCAAAAAAAAAAAAAAAAAAACCAACCCCCCAAAAACCCAACCAAGCTGTAGTTCTTTCCAGGTTTTGAAGCTGTGAAAAATACTGAAAATTTTTCACTAGAAAAACTGCCAAGTCCAAAAGCTTACTTAATGGTTGTTACAGGTGGATTAGTTCTTGCACTTACACAATTTTATAGATGACATGATTTTTTTTTCCTCGTCTCTGCTTCAAGCAAGAGACTCCTGTATATATACTACTTTATTTTCCCCTTTTATTTCACCATGGCAGTTTCTTTCTGTAAAACTTCGTTTGGTTTTAAGAAAGCTATTGCAAAACTACAGCTTTAGGTTGTTGTAAGAATAGTTCTAATTGGTGATTCAAATCCAAATCTCACCATGAATTATATGAACTGTAGCTGAACTTTTCCTGTAGCTGCCAGTGTTCAGTGTCCTTCCAGCCCCAGCTGCAGCTGATTTTCCTGCTGAGAAGCAGTGTCTCACCTGGCCCTGCCTGGGGAAGCCAAGGGACCCTGCTGCTAGGACACAGGGTGGTCATACTCTCCCTTGCATTCCCTTATTATATTAACAATTAAACTAACTCATTTGAGGGGGGAAATGCTTGCCTATGGATAATATACGGTGTCTGTATGATGTTGAACATTATAAAGCCATTTAATGAAATAAAGCTAATGAGCAGTGTCTTAGATGCGCTGGTGCCCAGCGGCACGCACTCGGGTTGATGACCTGGAAATGCAATGACCTTATATTTCCAGCCAGTTCAAGCAAGAGGAGTTGAATATTCATGGAATGATGCACTGGGCTTTTCCAGTGGAGGCGCTGCCTTCCCTCTGTTTCTGTGGTTGTGCAACCTTAGAACACACACCACTTCTGCATGTGTTTTTTTTTTCCCCCCCAGCTGTTTAATAATTGTGGAATGATGTATGTAAGCAGTTCCACCTGGGATTGTGTTTCAGAAGCACCATTAAAGTTACTGAATGTGTTAGAATGTAGCACAAGTTAATATTACCATCTTCTAGTTGTTTCTATTAAATTAAAGTGTAAAACTTAGTGACAAAGAAGTACCTGTTAGCCATCAGGGACCATCCAATTGCAATGTTTCATATTGTGGCAGGGAGAGGTTCAGGCATTGTTCCTGAGACATGAAGGCTACCTGGGAGCCATTGGGGCATTTTTAAAAGGAGCTGAACAAGACAGTAAGTACAGCACTGCTCTGTTCTGTATATGCTGTGTTCTCAAATGTCAGTGTAATGTCCAAGTTTCTCTTAGGAGGCTGCATGTAAGTTATTGCCTAGATAAATACATTTGGCACTAATAAACACAGATGCTGGGCTTTGGATTTATGTATTCTGGCAGGGACATCCTAATTTCTCGCTGTTTTTCCTGCTCACCTTTGAGAAAGCAGCAGGATTTGGCTCTTCTCTTTTCTGCATTTCTGCAAAGAGCAGTCATAACTCTAAATCTAAATTGGGGAAATGTGGTTTCTGAGAACTTCCCCCCTCTTTAAGAGACAGCTTCTGAATTCAGTTTACGTACTGAAGAAGACCAGCATCTCAAGACTGTGTTTGTTTGAGAGTGAAAAGCCTCACAGACATTAATGAAGGATGAACCACTTCTGTCCAGCATTCTTTGGGTATAGGCTGCTTTGGTTGAATTCTGCCAATTTTATATTCTTTTTTTTCTTGCTGATGTACTAGCGAGCCATTTAGTGTATTAGTTCTAGCAGAACAGATAGTGAAGTTTCTAATAGTATTTAGTTTTAGTAAATATCAAATATACCTCAGAATAATGGATAGGGTATTCTTCTCATACTTATTTGATATGGGCAAGTAACCAGCTACTGAAGAATTAAAGACATTGCTTCTGCAGTATGTACTGCAGAATGTGAACTGGATTCAACTTTTTCTCAAATAAAAAAGAATTCTAGGAATACCTTTAGTGTTTATATGAAATATACATTGTGCTTTGAGAGTTTTCTAATTGTCTTCTCTTAATAACGGGTCTAGATTTAGAAATAAGACATTAACTCTGTGAACAGTTATAGTTCTTTGAAGACATGCTGGTTATAGCCCTTAAAGACAAGGAAAGGGAGTGAAAAAAAAAGAATTTTAGAACTTTAATTGTCTTATGTCTCATTCAGGTTGAAGCTCTCTGGAGCTAAGTAATTCACTGAGTGTTAAAACATTTCTTTTGGGGGTTAGAGGGAAAAATTCTTTTTATAAAGAGAAGGGAAAATGGCTTTTGTAGTGAAGCAGCTTCTCTGAAGAGATGCTGACTCTGGGCTCGCTCACGGGAGTACTTTTGGTTTTATTTTCAGATTATGTGTGTCTCTGTCTTTTTCTTTTCTAGATCCAAACCAGTATAGCTGGGGAGAGAATTACGCTGGGAGTTCTGGTCTCATGAGCACATCACCCGATGTTTACCCCATGCAGAGAACACGGAGTGGTACAGTATGTGGTTGTCTTTTCTAGAACTAAGTGCCTTTTCTTAGTGATGGCGATTAGAAAATGTATGATTATTCTCAAGGTATTTGCTGCTTGCCCCTGGGACTCCTGCTTACAAAAAGAAGTGGCTAATACAGTGTCTTGTGTCGTGTGTGATGTCATCTTGTGTGATGTTTTGATGTAAAGTCTCATGAAAAGAGATTGTGGCTGCTACTTTGTCTTATTCTTTTCACCAAAACTGGGGGGGAACGACACATTGATCTCTAACCCTTTCTCTGAAGTAGCTGGATTTTGCTGCAGTTGAAATACTGTGCTTCAGAATTTTGAATCTTGATGTTCCAGTGTCTTTAAGCAGCGTTTATTTACTTCCTATGAGAAGGGAAATATATAACTGGACAGAAGAGCATCAGCCCAGTGATCTCTTAAATACACTGACAATACAGTCATTGTGATTTCGCAGTGAAACGGGCATACAGTAAGGAATCAGAAACTACATTAAGGTTCTTAAAATATTCTAATATTGTGTCTATTGAAGTGCTTTCAAAAAGAAGCTAGAATAGTGGAGCTCATTGTGTTTTACTGTCTTTTACTGGGCCGCATGTCAGTGTTTTTCATGTTAAATGGTTTGGTTTTTTTTCATTTCCTCCATCATTGATTCATCTCCTCCCGTTTTTCAGGAATTAGTTTCCTATAATTGTGGTAGGGTGTGGGGGGAGGAGCAGGACTTGCCTTTGGTTAGTTTTTTCTGTTGGTTGCTGAGATTTTTTGGGCCTGAAGTTGAGGTGCAGAACTCTCACTGAGCGGTTCCCCAGACTAAGCCTTAATTTAAGTCCACTCTGAGCTGCAGATGATGGATTTTGTGGGTTGTGTGTATATAAATATTAAAAAATAGATCTAATTTTAAGCTCTACCATAACGGAAATTATTGTAATGAAATTGTGGATTACAAGTATGACCAAAAAATAACAACATGGTCTTCTTAATTATAAAATATGTAATCCAAAAAAGTATTTATGCAGATGTAACGGTGCTCTTTTGTTTGTCAACCCTTTTTTAAAAAAAAAAAGGATCTTTTCACAGATTAATCTGGTACAGAAGTCTCAAACCAGCTGTAACGTACTGTCCACAGTTTTTCCATTTTGAATTCCTCTATTGCTTGGCACTCACTTTGGTCACATCAAATGAAATCTCTTTGCAACAATCACAGTTCAGAAACGTCCGCTCTTCAGCAATGAAATTAATCCTGAAGACAATCTTTCTATAGCAACCACTGTGGTTTATGTACACAAAGCCTTGTTACATTCTGGGCTTTATTCTTAGTACTTGGTCCGAACATTTCTGGGCCATGCAGTGTTTGCAAATTTAATGTAATTAGATAGTTGTATAAAATAAAGATAAATGTACACAGGTATTTCAGAGGCAAGAAATAAGACACACTTTACACACAGAGCTGTGTAACTATACCTATTTCACATAAACTATATATCTAGCCTTAGAAATTTAGCCCCCACTGCTGTTTTCACAAAGTGGAAGGAAAAGTTTTGGAGACTTGATCAGGATTGTAAAAGGAAATTGTAAAGCAGCGTAGCAAGGTTCATGTACAAATAAGCTTTGTGCTCCTGTTTGAACCCGATAGCCCGGCAGATTTGACAGTACTGGGGAGGAAGGGAAGGAAAATCATAAAATAAGAGGGCCTATAGTAAGTTTTTAACATGAATCTCTGTTGCTAGGGTGGGCATGGATAAATAATCCATACAGGGAGTGGATTGTTTACGATGGCATACACTCTTAATTTGTTAGTCCTAACTGTGGATGGAGTTCTGTAGCCCTTGTACTAGTTTCCTTTGTTATGAATCAATTTCTGAGTAAGTTCTAGTAAATCTCTTCCCTTTTTCACCTAGTTTGACATGCTGGAAATGGATAGGCTGGAGAGACCCCTGGTTAACCTGCCACTGCTGAAAGACCCCTCCACCTATATTCCAGACACTGTTGACCTCACAGACGATGCCATGGCCAGGAAATATTGGCTGACCTGCTTCGAGGAGGCACTGGATGGGGTAAGTGCCACAAAACAGTTATATCTATGAACGATGCAAGTATTTAACAAATAAATGTTCTGCAGACCAACGTGTTTCCCCTGCAGAATAGACCTGCTGTGTCAGACCTGCTGTGTGACTTACAGCCACTTTCACAGTCAAAGAGCGTGATTTAATCAGACATGAGTTATTTTGCTGCACTGTGGAACTATTCAATCAGCACGTGCTAGTACTTAAGAACTATATATACACTTCAAAAGCAAATCCAAATCAGAAAGTTCATGAGCATGTGTCAGGAGGAAAAGGGCTGGGAAGGACACAGTGGCAGCACAGTGACTTGAGCTTATTGTAGTAAAGAAAAAAGAACACAGGGGGTTGATGTGGACTGTTAAATTTCTGCCTGTATCTCCTTTTTTGTTTGTGTCAACTTGTTTGCTATTTTATTCCCCTATTTATAAGTAGTTAGAACTAACTTGTGTTTAACTTCTGAAAGTACAGTCTTGCAAAATAAACTCTTTTGGGGAGAAAGGAGGTATTTAAAATGATTCTTTGGTGGTTGGAATAAAGGAAAACTGGAAGACACCGTGTGGGAGGGACTAAAGTGTACACTGTCAGTGAACAGCGTGGCAGATGGAGGGGTTATTTTTGAGACTGAACCTCAGATCAGTCGCTTGGAGGAAGAATTCATTTGGTAACTTCAGTCTCACCTCATCTCTCTACCAGGTGGCCAAGCGAGCGGCAGCCAGTCAGCCCGACTCTGTGGATGCACTGGAGAGAGCTGAAAAGTTCCGACAGAAATACTGGAATAAGCTCCAGACGCTGAGGCAGCAGCCTTTGTAAGTGTCTGTACTTTGCCTCTTTCATCGCTTGCTGCTTCTGTGAGCAGAGCCAAATCAAAAGCTGGCTAAAAACTAACTGAAAACTAAATAAAAGCTAATTAAGTTATGAAGCAGAGCGAACTGTAAAGCTAAGTGGGCTGAAGGCTGGAGCAAGTTGATGTGCCAAACAGCAGGGTCTCTGCACAGAAGATTCTGATCTCATATATTGGAATGTAACAGAAAAATTCTACCTGGGCAGAAAACTTATAACTAAAAATTGTTACATGATTATTATTAAATGACCATTATTAAGGGGTAGCATATTAATTCAAGTACCTAACTTTTCTCTGAACGTTTTCATCTCTGTATTTGAATAAACTTTATAGTAGATTTACCACTTAGAAACAGCATTTAGCACACACGGCATGTAGAGACTTTTAGCTGAAGTGCTTGTGTGCTGTGCCTTATGGAGGAAACAGAGGAAAAAATAACTTTTTTCTGTTTGTAGTTGATCTCTTTTTCTCCCCCTTCTCCCTCTCTAAAGCGCGTATGGTACCTTAACAGTTAGAAAGTAGTTGATCTCTTTTCCCCCCCTTCTCCCTCCCTAAAGCGCGTATGGTACCTTAACAGTTAGAAGCCTGTTGGATACAAGGGAACACTGTTTAAACGAGTTCAATTTCCCGGATCCCTATTCAAAGGTAAGTTGTTCCTGCTTTACAGAGTGGACACCATGTAAGTTGAAGACACTTTTTCCCTACTCTGAAACTGCGTATAAGTGATGGCTGATAAGGGAGAGGCGAGTAACCGGCTGCCTTGTGGCAGGTGTCACCAGCTGGTGGTTGTCACTGAGGAGAAACAGCGATGGGTGATGGGGTGTAAAGCCTTTGGCCTCCAACGTGCTCATGGTGAGGGTAACGATAACCAAAGTATCACCAGCTCCATGTGTCTGGTGGCACTGAGAAGGGAACTGATGGTGTCAGTCCCGTTCCTGACGAGCACACGGTGGCTGCCACCAGCTGCTGCTGTAACTTGCTCCTTCAGGGAGGAGACACTTCCTTCAGTTCAGAGCTGAGGGAGCTGGTGGAGAAGCCTGTGCTTCTGGTTGTGAAGAACCTCACAAGGCACCTGAGATATTCAGTTTTGAGGACAGACAATTTATTTCCCTTTATACTGAGGCTACTATTGCAGTCTGGCAGGAGTTCTGTTTTTTTTCCTCCTCATTTTCATAATTCTCTTCATTTGCAAGTTTAAAGCTGTGCGTATCTGTGTAAGTACTTTCCAATCAATATGTAAATTGCAGACAGTTATAAAAGACACTTGGCACTGTTATTGTTCAGATCCCTGTTACCATGTAGGTCAGTTAACAATTACCTCCGTGCAAAAGTCACCAATGCTGTGAAGTCACATTTCTGTGGTCCTTTAACTACCTTCAGGAACATTTTCTTTTCTTTCCTCCCTGCCAGAGGAAAGAAAAGGAAGGGAGGGGGGTGAGTTCATAAACAGAGTATCATCCTCCCCCACCTCATCATGTCCAAAAAAAGGCCTGGGAAAAAAAATCCCTTTCACACATTCCCTTAGTTGCTGAGGCAGCCTGTGCTTAAACCCAACCCTGCAGCTTTCCCTCCCCTTGTCTCTGGATTAATTTACTGCTGGGCTGGAGAAGGACTCTGCATCACTTCTGTAATGTTTGAGATACTCTGCAGAGTTGGGCTGGAGCGTGTACGAATGCATAACCTCTAGCTCTTCAAAATAGCTGTGGCCATTGGGCAGCTGTTTACTCTTTGTATTTTATTCTGTAAGTTACTATGGGTGGGGGAGAGGACAATAACTTCCTGTGGGTCTGATCCTCACCACAGGTCTGTGTGGGCCTATAAATAACAACGCTGCCAGAGGCTGGTTACAGACTTTTTTCCTGACTGTTGATATATTTCTATAAAATACATGGAAGGTTTTCCTTGCCTGTATGGTCAGATGTTACAGTCACTCTAAGAAAGAGGTAAAAAAACATGTCAGATGGTTTTTACTTATGTTTGCTTTTTGGTAATTCAGAGAAGATGCTGTCAAGAAAAGCTCTTGGTGTAAAGGTGGTACCCGGTATCGCTTTTAAATTTAAGATAACCAGCTACATAACACTGATCTCACTGGAGAGAGCAGCAGAGAAAAATCCAAGAGCTTCTGAGCATCTGGGATGATGAAACCCTTGATGCAAAAATAAAACATCACCTTTCTCCAGTGTTGGCAGAGCTGCCAGTGGTGCCTTCCCATGGGAACCACCTGGGCCTAAGGGACCCTGTTACTGCTAAAACTTCTTGTGTGCACCCGCTCTGCCATTCCCTGCTCTGCTCCACATCTAGTGTACCTCTGACTTAGTAAGAAAAGTAATTCTTGGGCTACAGATCACATCCTGACACTAACAAAGCTTTTTATTAGAATCCCAGGAAACTTTTTTTCTTGTTGATACTAAGCATGCTGATAACAGTAACTTGTTGGTCCATTAGAGGCCATGAACGTAGAGGAGAATGCTTGATCGTGGTCTGGGGACTGAGACAACCAATAATGGGTAAGAAATTTTTGTCTATAAATCCCAACATTTCGTGTCTTTCTTACAGGTAAAGCAGAAAGAAAATGGCATAGCCTTAAAATGTTTTCAAAGCGTAATCGAATCTTTGGATTCATTAGGCTGGGAGGAGAGGCAGTTTGCTCTGGTGAAAGGACTTCTTGCGGGGAATGTCTTTGACTGGGGAGCAAAAGCAGTCTCAGAGTAGGTGTTAAATATTTTAAAAGCACCCTTTTAAGATACAGAATATCCAATTGTTCTTTTTTATAAAAAAAAAATATAAAAAAAAGTGCACCAATCTAACTTTAATTGTAGATTGTATTTCCCCTTAATCAAATGTTGGTTGTTTATTTACAAGCCTTGTGGTGGTGCGGGAAGGTTTATGTTTCCACCCTTGAAATGCAGCAAATGTCACTGTGAATGTTCCAACGGAGGGATAGAGCACTGAATGCTGAGTCTGGCTGCTTTGCTTGTAGCGTTGGGGTTTTACTGCTTTGGGGAATGTGTTGTACAATGTTCCTAGAGCAGAAAACATGCTATTTTCCTGCAACCTCCAGTTGTCCATGTATCACAGTATATACTCAGTGGGCTGCAATTGAGGCTGAGTGGTCTCTTGGTGGCTAAATGCTAATTATTTTTGATCAACACACATTTCTGTTACCATTTGGAGAGCTGTTTTCCTTCTATCCTGTCAGCAGCCGTGAATTCATTTAAGGATATTACGCCAACAGTCTTGAAATATTTCTGATTTTTCAATTCTAGAATTTTATTTTTGTGGGGCTGATAATTGAGACCATAGAATTGTCTGGGTTGGCAGGGACCTTTAAGATTATCTAGTACAACCATCTCCCTAACTGATAAAAAACCCAAAACAAAACAACATGGAGAGGGAGGCTGGTTTACAGCTGCTGTTCAGCATTTCCTTTCCCTTTCTGCATCTTTGAGGAGTCTTCCCTCTGATTAAATCAAACCCAGACCATTATAAACGAGCTTTCTTAGTCCTGTGTCACTTCTGGTGTTGCCCACACCCAGAGGTTGAACAGACACCAGTCAGAGCAGTTAGTCTTTGTGTAGCCCTCCTTCTCTTTGAGGAGGGAACTAAGAAGTACAGACCGAGTTAAATGTCACTTAGTTGTAGATTCAGGGCCCTTGAGGAGACCTGACTGGCACGCGATGCCCACACAGGGGAAGATTTTAACTGACAGCTCAGAATCTCATTATGTAAATCCTTGTTGCCACCCAAGTGCTTGGGGCTACTTTACTCCCCAATCAGCCAATAGCAGCAGCTTCTAAAACCTGTATCTGGTTATTTTAATGCCTTTCCCCCCCTGCCCTCCCACAGGTACAACTTTAAAAAACTTCTGTGGACCAATCTTCAAATTAGACTTTGTAAAGGACTGTTTTACTGTGCAGATATTTTAGACCCTGATGACATTTTGTGGTGATCTGCAGGCCCAAAGGTGTATTTCTTTGCCCATAGTCTAGTGCCTGCAAGCATTTGTATATTGCTGAAGCTTTTTTCTTTGCATAAGAGCCCTAATTTAATGTACATCTGAGCCTTTTGTTTTTAGCATGAGCACAAAGTGCCTGTTTCCCAGTTCCACACTCCCTGTTACAACCAACGCAGTAAAATTGCTGACTACCCCCTAAAAAAATGTTTGAGTTCTATTTCTGTGAGGTGAAGGTGCTTAACCACGTACCCTTTATTTCTCTTCTGATGCAGCGTTCTGGAATCTGAGCCACAATTTGGATTTGAAGAAGCCAAGTCCAAACTACAAGGTATAAGGAGCTGGGGGGTGGTGGTGGGTGGAGCTGGGGGGTGTGTGAGCGAGTGGAGGAGCGTGTGACTGTGTTTTTGGGGTGGTTCCACACAAACCCATGAGCACCCACCGGGGTTACCCGAAACACAGGCCATAGAGTTTTGATGGAATGTTCCTGTTTATACTCTGAAGGGATTGAAATCTGAAAACCTCCCTCCTCAAGCAGAAGTCTTGGCTGCACAGATCACAGAGAATCACAGAATACTCAGAAGATACTGATAGAACATACAGAAAATATCAGATACTCAGAATGTCTTGCCCAAGCTGGTTTTATACCTGCCCTAACCCTCTCAGGGAAACACTGTCCTGGGAGGCACAACATCCCCAGCCATCCTGGGATGAGTCCTTAGGACAGCCACCCTGCACGACCTCATTGCTTTAGTAGGAAAATTCCATTTTAACACTGTTGTAATTGAGCTGTTCCCATAATAAACAGCTCAGGAACTCTTTGAATCTACACATCTAACATTCAAAACCTGAGCTCACACGCTTTAATGCTTAAGCACCTGCAAAGAGACACCACCTGCTTCTTGTAATGTACAGAATTCCTGTTTGCCAAAGGAAACGCTAACGAGGTTTTGTCTGTGCCACAGAACGGCCCTGGTTGGAAGATTCCTACAGTCAGTGGCTGGAGAGACTGAAGGTACAAACCCACGATTGTTACTGCCATTGAGTAAATACATTAATCATAAAAACCACCTTATTAATCTTGTTTTGTTAACTCTGTTCAGACAACTCAGAATGCATTCTAGTAACACAGTGCTAGTGATTCAGCAGCATCACCATAAAGAAAGGAATAAAAGAATTAGTCTGATACCTCATTACTTACCGAGCTGCAGAGCTGGATTCCTTCTGAAGCAGCAGCATTTGGAACCAGCCGCGTAACCCCCTTGTGTCCCCTCTTTATTGGGGCACCAATTTCTGTACAACCAGAGCCAGAACTTTAAAAACTTGGGCCCAAGTGCAGTGTTTGGCTTCTTCCTCCATCTGAGCAGCCAGCCTAAAAATGGCTTTAATTTAGGAGCTTGCTGAAAGTAATTATCAATCAGCAAAGCTTCCCCCCCCCGTGTGATCTCTATTAGTGTTTAATTAAGGTTAATTGGAAAGCTTTGGTTCCTTTGTGTAAATCTCTGTGTTGGAAATGACAGCCAAAAGGTTTGGTGTGAGGAGATTGTTGCAAATCATTGGGTATTTACACCTTAAAACAAAAGTATCAGCTAATCTTGTGTAACAGTGATAATTAAGGAACTTCAAAGCGCTGTCTTGACAATTTTTTATTAGGAATCAAGCACTGCTCACTACAAAATTCTTCTGCTGGTATGAACTGGAGTGAGCTAAGTTTCATAACATGAAGGGAACCAAAATAGCCGACCAGTTCAGGATAGAAAATGTGGGGCCTTAAAGGGAGTGGTTGTAAATAACACAAACTGTTCATGGAAATGAATCCTCAACTCAATCCTGAACGCATTGGTTTTCTCTTACAGGAGGGTCCTCCTCATAAATGTGCCTTAATTTTCGCAGATAACAGTGGAATAGACATAATTTTAGGCGTCTTTCCTTTTGTCAGAGAGCTCCTTTCTAGAGGGACAGAGGTAAGTGGGGTTCATTGGGAATTCACTGGGTAATGGAGCGTTGGGAATTGGTGGCAGGTTTGTGAACTGCCAAGCAGCAGGACACCAGGCTGGTGTCTGACACCTACATCGGGAATGATCCCAATCCCTGGAATTCCAAAGTTTATCTTTGAGTATGGAAGGCAGCAAAGCACCAGGTGCCTCTGTCAGCCCTAGTTCTGCTGAAGGAGGGTCTGTAACATCCAAAAGCCCTGAAATAGCTCATTAACTGAGGGGAGATGAGGCTCCAGCCTTTCTCTTTGCTTTCCCTCCTTGGTAAAATGAGTCGGGAGATGGTGATTTTACCCAAGCAAGTGTGTGGACTGCACTGACTGGTGAACTCCTGCCATCTCTGCCCCAGGTTATCCTGGCCTGTAACTCTGGCCCTGCCCTCAACGATGTCACCTACAGCGAATCCCTGATTGTCACCGAGCGGATAGCGGCCATGGACCCCGTCATCCAGTAAGCACAGAACTGCTCTTCCTTGTGTCTCACACAGCAAATGAAGGGAAAAGCAAGTCCCTCGTTACGTACTTAGGTCTTATTTAACTGTGTTTATTAATGGCTGGAATCTGCCACCTGGAAGTAAGCTAAGGCAGCTCATTTACTTTCATTAAGGTAAAAAACCTCTTGAGCAGCCATAATTATATTTCTTGTCTGTGTTGTCCCTTATAAGCACTCAAGCTACTGAAACATGAATCTTCTGTGTTAAAAGAGACTAAAATACGTGTATTTCAGACACAGTGTCCCCAGCAGAGGGCAGAGGGGTGACTAATAATCCCTTTGCTCAAAGAATCATGTTTCCTGGTGAAATCCTCACAGGAAAAGAAGCTTTTGCAAGGAATATTTAGATACTCGTTGTGTCTGGCTTCTCACCACCAGCTTCATGTGATCCTGTTGAGGGAGCTGTTTAACTTTTGTTTTTGGTTTTTTTTAAAAAAAAGATCTGCACTGAGAGAAGAGAAGCTGCTGTTGGTTCAGACGGGCTCCAGTTCACCGTGTCTAGATCTAAGGTATGTTGTCCAGTGCCCTTTGGTTACTTGTCTCCAGCAGCTGCAGGACGTCCCGAGCAGAGCTCAGCCCCCCTTCCCCGAACAAATCACCGTGGCACAATCCAATCACTCTGTCTGGATTTACAGACTGGTACCATTGAGCAACCTTACTAGTTGTTGGACATTTATTTATCCTGTTTGCATTCAGCAATGAGACAGGGTCAGTTCCAGGAGCAGCTCGGTTGGGGATGCTGTAAAATCCTGCCCAGGACCAAGAAATCCACTTGACTTTAGGAAGCATTTTGTGTTGTTAGCCTATTTATTTTTAATTCATTTCTCTATTGGAGACAGAACTTACCTGTGTTTCCTGGGCAATCCCAATTCCGAATGCATTTAGTGAAGCTTTTTAAATTGTGTTTCAACCTCTCCTTTGATTTAAAACGTTCCTGTTTATTGGCATCTGTAATTCCAGCTGAAATTCCGTATCCCTGAATGCATTTTGTGAAGCTTTTTAAATTGTGTTTCAACCTCTCCTTTGATTTAAAACGTTCCTGTTTATTGGCATCAGTAATTCCAGCTGAAATTCCATATCCCACCCCATTTTATGTAAATGATAGAGTCCATAGGGGTGAGTATTTCTAACCCAGCCCTCTCCTTTCAGCCGCCTGGACAAAGGCCTGGCCGTGCTGGTGAGGGAGAGGAAGACAGACCTGGTTATCATCGAAGGCATGGGCCGCGCCATCCACACCAACTACTACGCGGCGTTCAAGTGCGAGAGCCTCAAACTGGCCGTCATCAAGAACTCCTGGCTGGCGGATCGCCTCGGGGGGAAGATCTTCAGTGTCATTTTTAAGTACGAAGTGCCGTGTAAATGATAAGGAGCCGGTCGGCGGCGGGTGAACCAGGAGCAGCAGAACGGACTTGCACTAGTTTTACTTTAACTGTAAAGAATGTATTTTTATTACAACAGGGAAAAAGAGTTCACAGGAAATTCCGTATTTATATTGTGCTTTTGTGACTTCAAAAAAGCAACAATATGATTCACTCTATAGTATACACACTCAAATATATATATGTATATCACTCATTGTTTATTTTGGTAAGTGTTTATTTTAATGCTGCAGTATTTGTGATGAAAAGACTTTATTTTTTTGTTCTGTGAGACATTCATATAGAAATATATTTAAATGTCAATGAAACCTTTTTTTTATACATCTCTGCCTACTCTGCCACCGCTGACACGGCACACCCCAAACAGTGTTTAATGTGCTGCCTGAGCCTGATGTTGCATTTCCCAGGTCAGCTTTTAGACTTACCTACAGCCTTTCATGCTCTTGAGCAGTTAATTTGATTGAATCCACCTTCTGACCTCCCAGCTGTACCAGCACCCTCCTGATCTGAGCACCCAACAACAGCTGGAATAACTCTTAACTCATTGCTTTCTCTCTTGTCTTGTTAACACTGGGGTGGGAGGGGAATTCTGCAGTTACACTAAATTACCTGGCAGTAGCTGCAGGCTGAGTCTTGACCACGTTACCCCTAAAGTGAAGGTGTAGTGCTCTATTCAAGAACACCCAGCTCTATTTCTGTCAGAGGCACCTTAGTTTCTGTTGCTTTCAGTTATTTAATGCTGGGACTGCTAAAAATTAGTCTCTTAGTTCACGCAGTGCAGTTAAAGCCCTTTCCAAGTAACTGAATTTGCACTTTTTTGCCCTCCATCAGCTGTGCAGTACATAAATGGAGTCATTTAACCATGAATTTGCAAACCAACATGTGCATGCATCAGTCATTCCAGCTCTGAAATGAAAAACAGCTTAATTAGGAAACTGTTTAATATGCAGCTGAGAGAAGTGTTCCCCATGAATTTCAGAGATTCTTCTCTTGGAGCCAGAGAGCAGCAGGACGTGCCCGTCACTTGCTGCCTCACCCTCCCTGCTCAACCTGCCTTTGTTTTAATTGAGGATACCAAAGTTGCTGCTCTGGTGCTGCTGGATTTCAGCTCTCAGGCTTCTGCCCGAGTACTGCTTGAGCAGGTTCAGGAGGAGAAAACACCCTCTGCAGCTAAAGAGTGAAAGTGATCTGTGATGGGACACTGGCAAAAGACAAGGCTGTGACTTGCATTGCCCAAGTCTGGTAGTTCCTTACTTGCCCGGTCTCACTTTCTGCAGAGAACACAGTTAAATCCTGCATTTTGGGGGTTTATGCAACAGTTTTGTTGTTTCTGATTCAGAAATGACTTTCACAGTAACTTTCACAGCATCTTCTGCTTAGAAGAGGGGAAGAGCACAGTCTATTTATAACTAAAATGTTTAAGAAGCAGTTGTTCTTGATTAGAACAGTCAGAGGAGAGCTTTAATTTTCAAGAGTGTGCCTCATACTGTAATTAGTAACCAGAGGCTTCACATTAACCTAGCCCAAGTCACTTACTCCTACAGCCGTTCATGTACTTACACAGTGAACTTCTAAACTACATCTGGATCCACCACCTCAGGCCATCTCACCTTTACTGTACCTCGTTGTTACCTCCCTTCTTTTTCACACACTCTGACCCTCATCAATTTAAATTCTTCCAAGACACTTAAATTTTCTTCGGTGTCCAGCTCCAATCCAGACGTGCTCTCTCTCTCTCTGTGTTTGTAAGTAGAAAACTAACACTCTAGACTTGCAGAAAAACATCTTTCTACAGTGATGTAGTTCCTATGAAATATATATGGTATGAACCTAATACACGCCCGTTCCTCCAGCAAAAAATTCTTAAGCATTAGCTCTCCCCGAAGTCTCCTGGCTTTGTCTGGTGTTTTCTTTAATGCGTAGGCGAGTGCACATCTCTTCTGTGAAAACGGAGCAACAAGATTTCTGAAAAACAAAGAGGGGGAAACAGGGCAGTGGGTCCTTCTGCATCATGGAATCCACCACCTCAGTGCACAGCCCCTCCTCGGGGAGGGTGGGGAGCAGGAAGACCAAGGTGCACGTTCAGCTCCCAGTGCAGTTTCATTTACATGTGTTTTCCCTCTTGTCAAATGACTTAAGAACAGCCATACTGAGAATAAACTTCTTACTGATGATGTACTGTCCTCTGTACACACTCAGCATATTGGGGTGCAGTTTGGCTGCCCAGGAGTTACAGAAAATTCTACTTAATATTGGGAGGAGGAGAGGGAGTTATTTTATTTTTGTTACCCTCTTCCCACAACGATCCCACCCCCAGCTATGGAAAGGTGCTATGGAAAGCTGGCATTGTGCACAGCAAGCACCGATGCCCAGCGTGTCATAGAATCATAGAATCATTGAGGTTGGAAGAGACCCTTGGGATCATCGAGTCCAACCATCTCCCCTACTCTACAAAGTCCTCCCCTACACCATGTCCCTCAGCACTGCATCTAAACGGCCCTTAAACACAGCCAGGGATGGGGACTCCACCCCCTCCCTGGGCAGCCTGTTCCAATGCCCGACCACTCTTTGGGTGAAAAATTCTTTCCTAATGTTCAATCTAAACCTACCCTGTTGGAGCTTGAAGCCATTCCCTCTTGTTCTGTTGTGTCTGTGAAACAGAAGGGACACGAGGAAGCAGGACAGGAGGTGGTGACATCACCTACCTTGGCGTGTCCAGCAGCGTGTCTGCTCTTGTTGGAGAGCTCCACCACGGCCGCGATCACCCCCAGCGCGAGGCCAATGGCCAGGGTAAGGAAGAGCCCCCCCAGGGCCTGGGGCTGCAGCGGGCTCCAGCGCTCCCTGCTCTTGTGGAGGCAGCTGCTCTCCCACCACTTGTGCCGCAGGTAGTCGAGATCTCCCGATTCGCGCAGCTTGAGGACGGCGATGGAGAGCTTCTTGGTCCAGGGGGATGCTGGCAGCAGGAGGGGGAAAGAGGGAAGAGCATGGGAGAGGTCACAGCCACTATCACATTTTTAAGCCATCCCCTGCCACACCACCAAGCTGGGTGCTGCTTCCCAACTGCCAGATGGTCATTCTGCAAACAACGCACCAGAGGAAGCCGAGTGCTTTCCTTAGATAAAACCATTCCTGCCCTATCCAGAGAGGTAAGGTAATACTTGCAGAATAACAACAGTGAAGGGACTTTGAGAAATACTGGCAGTTGTGCTCCACAAGAGAACAAACTGCCTTCCCTGCCACTGGCTGAGGAGCTCGGCATTACTGGGACCAAACCAAACCCCAAAACCCCACAGGAACCAGCGACACTCCCGAGAGCTGGATTATTTTTTTTGCACATTATAGTTCAAAGTAAGAGTTAGTGAGTGCTAGTGATAATCCACCTACAGAATGAAATCCTTGCAGAGTGGGGTTACCAGTCTGTGTTACCCATCTGGTCACACCAGGTTATCAGTGTTAACGCAGAAAATGTGTGCGCGTTTCAGGGCTCGGCCATTCCAGGTTTTTTGCTCTGTCAATCTGCTACTTCAGGCCCATGCAATCCAAGCAGAGCAGTGGGACAGAAGTGGGACAGTGACTAACCCTGGGTAGTGGCAATGCCAAATCCTCTGGCTCCAATGACTTCAGGGGCCCGGATCAGGTCGCAGTGCCTGGCAGCTGCCAGGTCTTGAGAGATGGATTCCCCGATGAAGGCGTAGTTCGACTCCATCACCCGCTGAACTGCTTCCTGGTAGGTTTTGACTAAAACGTGGTCTCGTCTCTTGTCCATGTATTCATAGATCATCTGGTGGATGGGGTTCTTGGAGTTCTGCAGCCCAAAAATCCAGGTGTTAAACTAAAGTGTAAAACAATCACCCGAAAAAAAAATCTGCATCTATGTGCAATGATTGCAAAACAAGGTGGAGAATAAGGGTGCCTAAACCATTGCCCTGTGAGCACTCTGTACTGAAAACATACAGCTAGCAGAGATTTCCTCTCTAATGCAGTTACAGGGATGCAGGTATTAAATATTTCCTACCACTCCAAAAAACAACCTTTGCAGGCATCCAGGTAACGTACCCAGAAATTACCTGTGTCAGTCCTCATGTTCAAGGTACTCAAGAACAACCCCTGAGGACCAGCATCACTTTACTTAAAAGAGAATACACTATAAAAATACAGCCCTCTGCATGCTTGCTCTCTGAGAAAAGGTTGAAGAAGAGATGAACAAAACAGTAGACACCAACCATGTTATTTGAAATATTACAGGAGAACTGATGGAGTGCTACAGCTACAGCCGTGGGGGTGGTGTAAGGACCTGTGGGCATGAACTAGACAACACAACCCCAGCTCAGCAGCTCTACAGCCCGTGTGTGTGTGCACAATGAGATTCTCCGCACCTTGAAGAAGTAGAAAGTAGAGGAGCCCTCCAGTGTCCCAAACTCGAGCTTTCTTTGCTTCACAAGATCTTCAAAAGTCTGGATGGGGAGCTGCTCGCTGCCGGAGCTCAGCAGAGCGGTGAAGTTGGCGATGTAGGCGGCCAGCAGGGCGATGGTGAACAGCCACCAGACGGCAGCGATGACCCGCACAGACAGCGCTTTGGGCCGCGGGGTCACACCTGCACGAGCAGAGGAGCCCATAAAACACATGGGAAGGAAGGATTCACGAGCCTGAGTTAAAGACTTCCCTTTAATTAAAGGCCAAACTGCAAAACTTGCCCTGCAGCTTCTTAAAGCACAAGCCTGAAAAAATCAACTACGGCTGGTTTGAGCTGCATCAAAACTGCCTGCAACGCGGAGCCGAAGCAACATCAATGGCCAAAACCAGCATCAAAAGACACCACTCGACAAAGCACCGGGCAATGTTTAGCTTGACATCCCCTAGAGCAACTGTTACAGCAGAAAATACACATTTCTCAACTGCCATCCCTACAATTCCAAAAGGTCTGGATCAGATTCCCCAAATTGGGAGTTTTACTGCTGCCCAGTGTCCCTATTGCAGCATCTTTTCCCTCAAGAGGGTAGCACAGCAGTGTGACACACAGATGAGAGCTGGATACACAGGTGCCTCCCCACTCACCTTGCAGGGCAAGGGCTCCTGCTCCAAACCAGAGGCTATTTAAGAAGGTGAAGTGGTTCTCTTCGTTCTTTGGCTCATTCCATTCACAGGGGCTCAGTCTGTGGGAAAATGACAGGATAAAAGCAGACACTCAGGAAAAAAATAGGACTAATCCTGCAGTGTGACTGCAGCAGCACAGACAGCCTGGAAACGAGCCTTCCTTCCACAGCGTCCCCTCCTTCACCTGGGTTCCAGTTTAACCAGTGCAGGGGAAATTACTCCTGCTCAACGCCTCAAGTAGTTTACAGCACTGATGGCTCAGGGGGCCCTGTCACAGGTTTGTCAGAAGCTTTCTCCTTGAGCCATGGCATAATCTAGTCTCCCTGGCACTCCCAAGTGCCAATACTGGCTCTGTTCTGTGATATCAGAGTGAAGGCTGCTCCTTGGAACAAACCTCTACCTATAAATATTGTGCATAAAACTAGAAAAGCAGCAATAGAGCTTCTGCCCAAGAGTGCTGCTGCAGAGAGCCTGATCAAGAGGAGTGGGAAAGCTGAATCTCCTGGGAAGGGGGTGTGAGTGCTGGCAGTCTCCTCCACAAGGCAGTGCAGGACACAGCACATAGAAATACACCAGGAGAGACACCCGCACGTAGGAACATGGTTGTAGTTCAAAACAAACTGATAAAGCGAGAAAGAAGGTGCGAGGTACAAACACACACTCCTTTTAGCAGCTCTTGGTAATCCACACCAACAGAGACAGTGCTCTTCTGGGGAGATCCTACTCTTAATGCTGTCTTAATCTGACACGACTTTATCAGCCCCTGGTTCTGGACCTCTACAGAAGGTTCCTCAAAGCAAAATGCACCCTGGTACTTTCTTTAAAACAGATCTCTTTATAGCTGAGAAAGCAGCTGACTTGAACAAAATCTGTGAAACAAATGCATTTGTACCTGGCAACAAGAAAGAGGCAGAAGCACGTCAGCACATAAGCAAATAAAAGGCCTGTCCAGGTCTCCTTACTGAAAGGAGCCAGGAAGTGGAAGAAAGACATATCCTGAGAGACGGTGTCTTTCCGAAGCAAGATTCCAATCCCAGTCTGCAGGAACGGTGTGGTGAAGGAGACCACCTCTTCTCTTGCTGACGTGACTGTCAACGGAGCCACTGCAATGTCTGCTTCCTACAAGGTGGGGATAAAAAAAAAATAAATAATCAACCATCCAACCATCTAACCTACCTGAAGATTTCTGTCACTCAAACAGAATGCTTCCCAGGCTGAGTGAGCAAACACCCCCTTGGCGAATCACAGAATTATCTAGGCTGGAAGAGACCCTTGGGATCATCGAGTCCAGCCATGGACAGCTCTCTGACCAACAGACAGCTCTCTGACCAAGAGCTCCAAGACACAGGGTAGCTCATAGTGAGGTACTGGCTGGTATCTGGGGCTTCTGGTTTCCTACTACAGCATCACGCACACAGAGACTGAGGCTGTGCACCATGAACCCTGTTTGGCCAAAACCAGAAGGCACATTCCTTTCTTTTCCTGGCTGCAGCATCTACCTGACTGACAGCTGGACACAGCACCGAGTTCAGAGGAACAAAGGTTTCATTCAAGTGTTACCAACAGATGACAGAACACCAGCCACGGGGAATGGCCCATGACGGGTTAAGATGTGCACTCAAGGACCTCCTTGAAGAGTCTAAGGGACCTACTGGTTAAGTTGAAGGTAGGTTTTCCTTAAAGCCATCACCTTTGTTTCATTAGTGAGCTGAGGTGTCTGTACAGTCTCTCAGACTACAGAGAAACAGTGGGTAGCCCCTGAGACAGGACAAACACTGCAGCAGGAGCACCTTGTTGTAACAATGATTTCCTGCTATGGCCACTGTCTCCTTGTTCCTTAGTTTCCACATTTGCAGGACAAAACCAACCAGAAGTTTTGCTATTCATTAGTTCTACACAAGAGGCCGGGCGATGCCAAGTTGCTCAGTCCCTCAGCAAATTCTGATGCAGCCCAAGAGCTGCAGGCACCGTTCTTTCCTTCTAGAGCTACAGTTTGGCAAAATTAGAAATTGAAAATTACCCGTCTCAAAATCTCGCCGATCATCCCCGTCCAGTTCCCAGTGGCAGAGACGGCCCCGTACTGCCCATCTCCCACCACCTTCACCCTGTAGCTGAAGTGGAGCATTGACGCAAGCGCCTTCAGCAGATCGATGCAGTATCCCTCCAGTTCTGCACTTCTCACCATCACATAGGGATCCTCCTGCATATCGGGGGAAAAATCCACATTACACACTCCCAAAGTCTGAGTGTAACTCATTGTGAATTAATCCATTTTTATTTATTTTTTTTAGCAAACCCTCCTCAAAAACCTCTACCCGCATTATCAGGCGGACAATATTTCCAAACTTGAAAGATATTCCCTGGAGTCATGTGCCACCACTACTCACAGACTGCAGCTCCAGCTGCATCCTGCAAGCCACGTGGTACCACAGAAGTCAGTGATAACCTCTCCTCAGTCTAAAAGCCCAAATACACTTAATTTGCCCCCCCCAAAGCATCAGCCGAGGGTCAGATGCTGGTGCAGGATCTGACAGCAGAATCAGAAAATTTACTGCTTCACCTTCTTCAGAATAGTCCTGCTCATCTGGCACATGTGGTAATGCATTTTCCTTTTTTTTTTTTTTTATAGCCTATTTCTAATCCCTGCTCAAGCGTGATCTTTACACATTTCCACTGCAGGACAGAAACAACACATAGGTAACATGACAACCCTTAGATGTAGCGACACAGAGTGAAGAGGCCTGGCTGCCTTCGCAGAGCAGCCCATTTGATAGCCCTCGAATCCTCCCACTGCAAACTACAGAGAGCTTGCAGCTCTGCACCACTGAGGCAGTGCTCCAAAACCGCTCTGTGATCAACAGGGATAGCAGTGTCAAAGACAGTCCAACAACCTGCAAATATCTGGGGGGAAAAACAAGGCAAAGTGTCATTCCAGCTACCTCCCAGCCACTGTCAGTGTGTGTCACTGCCTTACCAGGATCGTTGTGACAGTCAAAGTCGGAAGACCCTCTCCTGCTCCCCTTAAGTCACTGCCCTGCAAATCAAAAAATGAAGAAGTAATTGGATTTCAAAGTCCCAGACGTGGCCGCACATAGCTAGGGGTACATTATGACTTGGAGAGGGTGTTGGGGGGGGTGTGTGTTAAACCAGCTGTAAACCCGCCCCTTTAAACTGCAGCAATCTCACCACCACTGCTCCCTAACTGCAATTCATAAACCAAAGCATTTCACTTTACTGCGTGTTGTCAGCATCTTTTGTCCAAATAAAAATCACTTTAAATGTTGTCCCAATTCTTCAGATACACAGTGCACAGAGTCTTCCAAAGAGATCAATTCATGCTGCAGACAAAACAATTAGCAGCCAATTAAGGTCTCATTAGGGAGCAATTCCAGGAGACACAGAACAGTAGGAAACCTGATAGGAAGATGAGAGGAAACATGGATTCACTTCTGCACAGAACACTCAATTGCAGAGTAGATATTCCAACCTCAGTCACACAACTCGGGATGGTCTCAGATCAGCACTACCTTGGGACAATTCAAGCTTTTGCCAGTAAAGCAGCCTAATTCTCTAACATTTTCTGGTCTTCAGTGTATCCCTTCATTATAAAATTACACAGAAATGTTTCTAGAGACAGTAATAAAGCACGTATGTGTGCGTGTATATATACGCAGTACAATATCTGCAAAAGAAGCTCCATTTCTTCCAGGAGCTGAATTATCTTGTTCCAGTTCTCTCTGCAATGGAAGGATTTGAGGGCTGAGCTCTGGCTTTGAAGCTGTGATCAGAAGGTACCTGGTGCAGAATGTTCCGGGAGGAATGTTGCTGTTCCCACAGAAGCTACAATTTGCTCTTGGATAAAAGCAAAAAAGTCACGTTTCTTTCCACGTCTGTTTGAAATATTTATGCTACTGAACAAGAGGATGAATAAAACATAAAACCAAAAAATCCTGGCTTAGTCCTCTCACTTGCCATCACCCACTAGTTACTGAAGGCTTCAGAGTGGTTCTTAAAAATCATCTCAACACACTACAACTTTTGTAAATATACCAAAAGAGTGTTTAATTGGGTAAAAGTTGTGGGGTTTTGGTAGCAGCAGGGTGGGTAGGGCTGGTCTTGTTGTCTCACCAAAGGGAGTGAGTATAAAATGTGAAGTGAGGGGACTGGAGACACAAGTTCTGTCTCTGCCTATGCTATTTGCACCATTCATTTCATTCTCCAATGCTATATACCATAACCAACTTCCCCATAATTTTTGATCAGAAAGTCTTTAGGACAAATACTGTCCTGCATTATGTGAATATCTACATGCTCTAGCAGGTTAGATTTTAAGTGACATTTGACATCTTCTACAGTCTGAGGAATTACGTCCCACAGACCCTTTTCTTCTAAAGTCTGAGGAATTACGTCCCACAGACCCTTTTTACGTTAAGTACAAACTTTTGGAAAAATAACAGATGTCTTAAGAACTAATAAAGGCATCTCTGCATGTTCATATGTGTCTGAATTTTCTTCAACCTTAGGAAGCTTTTAACAATCATAAGTGATGCAGTAATTTTGAGGTTTAAATTCCATAAGCCATGAAGACAGGGCTTTAGGCAGATTCTTCCCTGGGGCATGACTGAATTTTGAATTCTGGACAAAAGATTGAGGGGGGGGGAGGGAGGGGAATCATAGACACACAGACCAACTTAGATATGGCCATCACTAGCCATGAAACTTATATTTAAAATAATAACTCTTCACAGATTAAAGGCATTGCACACTATGACCTCATCTATTTCTGAACTGAAAATGGAAGACCTTCTGCATGTGTACCTTTATTGGCAGCTCTGCACCAAGGAACAAACACATACCTTAACCACAGCATCATCATTCCTTGTAGTGCCTGAAAAAATACAACAACAAAATAATCAACTTCTTGCAGGGCTTATATTTATGGCTCCTTAAAAGTGAAGCTTCATCCCCTCCTTTCAGAATGACCACCCTCCACTCCCAAGCTCACAGGGCAGTTGACCCACAGCAGTTTTGCCAAGTTTGTTTCCTCCCTCACAGCACAGTATTAGCGCGGAACAAAGAGAAGCAGAGACAGACACAGCCAGACTCAGGCTGCAGAAGGTCCTAATTGGAACTAATGACAATGGCTGTCACTCACACATTGAGGAATGAATTTGGCAGAATCAATCGCCTTATTTCCTTATTGCCCTCCCTGTCAAGGTGAAGAGCCAGCTCTCCTGCTACTTCATACAACTAAGATTTCCCCCCTAACTCCTGCAAAACCTTGCCTATACCCCTATGGAAAAGTCCTGTAAACAACCAAAAGTTCATCACCATTAAGTTCCAAGACATGAGTTTTTCTTATTCTTCCCCTCTCCTGCTCATGAGAGGTCCCTACTGTCTAAGCAGCCAAGGGGGTTGCAACCTCTGGGGGGGAAACCCTTCTCCACCACGCTCTACTCCGTTCCCCCCTCAAACTGTAAACACCTCAACTTTTTATTCCTGTGAAAATTAAAACCTCCAAAAGGGCCACGACCAAAACCAGGAACCAAGAGCTGAAGAAAGAGAGACCAGAAAGCCTGTCTCATGTTGCCTGTTCTCTGTATCCCATTGAGGAACAGTGAGAAAGGGAAGTACATAAAATTGATACAGAGTTTAATTGTGATGGGAACCAGTGCAACCCTGCCGTCAGCACAGGAGGGAACACCAAATGTCAAACCTGCCATTGACCTTTCCTGTATTACTTCTCCTTCCTATGCCTCAGTTTCCCATTTGTAAACCCAAGGTAATGACACTCCCCTCTTTGGTAAAAACACCAAGATCCACCCATAAAAGTACCATTACCGAGGTCAGTCACGCTCCTGGGTTCTGCTCTCTGCTCTGCTGTGGGGCTTTTAACAAGTCCTATTAAATTATTTGATCCACAGCTTCCCTTTTCATAATACTCAGTAGAAAAACTCAATCCCACCCCAGCTACAAGAGAGCTAAGCTACAATGATTAAGATTAAAATCACAATTGTGTCAATTTATGACTCATTAATTGCCCAGGATGTTTTTCGTAGAATGTGCACAGCGTTGCTCCTGGGAATCAAAGAATTCACAGTGTAAAAGCCAAAAATCCCTCAAGATAAAACAAAAAAATTAGGGTGTTCTCACTCTTTCAAGCAAAAGCTGCGAGTTTTTCATTAAATATAACAACATATTCATTCATTATGTATTATTATTCATTCTTTGGTTTTGCATTTTCTGGCCTTGTGCTGAACTCTACATTATTGTAAAACAAAACCTGTTTTTTCCCTCTCCACTACAGTTCTCCATGGGAGCTGGAAATCTTCACAAAGGAGTTCTCTTGTCTCCCTTTAGAAACTCATTATAGCCAGTAAAAGCTTTTTGAGGCTCATTTTGAAGACCTGCTAGGGTTTCTTGGAAGCAAACAGTCTGTACCAAGGGCTTCAGCCCCCCCACAGCGGCACTGGATGCAGCTGTTCAAAGCCCCATTGTAAGAACCCCTGAAAGGACCATAAGTAATCAAGTTGCAGCACTAACTCGAAGTTCATTGCAGCGAGACTTCTCAGAAGCCAAGTCCTCATTGTGAGGATCCTTTGTGAGAATCTACAGAGACAGAAGACAAAGAGGAGAGGCTCATCCCTCCACTCTTGCTCCCCACAGGCTGCAGGAAATGTGGTTGCAACAACCAGCTTTGTCCTTACCCCTGCTCAGAGCAAGCCCAGCCTTCTAACAGGAGATGGCTCCCCAATTAACTTGTGGTGAAAAAGCTTGTAGCAGCATTTAGAGCTGGCCAACTCACCCCAATTTTCCACCCCATCCTCCCTCTCGATGACAGTACCCTTCTCTTTGCAGCCTTTGCCAGCATTTCCCCCTGAGCAGCGTGTGACCACAAGAGATCGCTGAACTAAAAGGAGAGGAGATGGGTCTGGTGGATCCCAGTTCTGGAGAACACTGGGACATTCCAGATGAGAGAATTCTCAGGGCGAGAGAATTTGACCATCATCAGAGACATAAATGGGTGAAGTATCTGTAACCTGAGGTGAACTGCAGCGATTACCAGCTCCGGGCAGGCAGGAGATGGGTGTGTGAGATGGGAAGCTGCTCTCCCAACCCTCTAAAGAGAGAGCCAGTTTTTATCTCCCAGTGATTCTGCAAGGTCAAGCCTCTCCTTAGCCTGAGTATGGACTCCAGGCCCAGAACACCAAAAAGCTACAATAAGATCGAAACAATAGCAGTTGTGCAGTTGCAAAAGCAAGTTCCCCAGCTGCTCACACTGAGAGCAGAGCGTGATCCAGCTGCTGACCACCGTGAGAAGTCCCTGGCAGGCTCCTACTCCTGTCCCTTTGGACCTTCAGGGGGAACGTAGTGTCACCCTTTGTCTAAAAAATGCCTGGGGACTCACAGAGCTGACAACTTCAATGCGCTAAATCCTCCCCTCTTCCCAAAACATGCCACGAGCACAGGGGGTAAACAAGTAACATGGACAACATCCCTCACAGAAGAACAAGTTAGTCATCTATCTCACTGCAATTCAAGAGACCACAGACCCCAAAGAGTGCAGTTTTAACCACAACAATGGTGTTCAAGGACACCAAACCACCTTTTTCCTAGGCTTTTTCATCTTTCCTGATCTCTACCATCTGATTTACATCTAGAGCAGCAAAGACACTTAGCAACAGCACTCTTAAGATTATAAAGTCACTATCACAAGCTGTAACAACAAAGTGGGCCCAGGTGATGCCTTAATAACCAATCTGAAAGCAAATTCTTAAGATTAAAACAAATTCCTGTAAGCACTAGCAGTTAAAGACTGAAATAAATACCACTCTGTAAAAAATGAAACCAGATTTGGATGCAGCCTGCATTTTTGTATCATTTTTCTCACCTGCCTGGCTCGATACTCTCAGGAGCAGCACCGTTGTAATCACATGGAACGTGAAGTGAAGACCTTTGTCCATTGGAGCAGAAATATCTACTCTCTAAAGGAAGCTCCCTGCTAGAGACGAAAGGCAAGTAGTTAAAGCTGGTTTTATAGGTCCTCATTGCTGGGTTAAAACCAGCATGTCCTGGATTTTCTGCACCTCATTCTGAGGAGTCCCCATTCACAAAGGTCTCCAGGTGAACACAGAGTCACTGCGGAGCCCAGCCAGAGCAAATATTAAAGAAAAGATTCTGGTGAATGCTTCCCTGCAGCGAGAAGGATGTGACCAACCTGTAAAGTGGATTTATCCACTGGTTGTTGCCCCGTTTCTCTTTCCATGGGCTCTCCCCCAAAGGAGAGGGGCACCACAATGGTGGGCAGGCTCTGGTGAGAGGCAGGTGTAGGTGGGTGCAGTAACGAGGGGCGCACACACATGCACATTGGTCAGGGAGAGGAAAGGACACAGCTGAAGTTAATTCCTCCCAAGTACCAGGATATTATACTCTGAGAAATGGGAAGGTGCCATTTCAAACTCTGCAACAAAATTTTTGCATGAAAATACTGAAATAATTGTACATTTATCATTGTAAAGCAGCAACACACACACACACAGGTCAGGGGAAGGAAAGGACACAGCTGAAGTGAATTCCTCCCAAGTACCAGGATATTATACTCTGAGAAATGGGAAGGTGCCATTTCAAAACTCTGCAACAAAATTTCTGCATGAAAATACTGAAATAATTTTACATTTGTCATTGTAAAGCAGCAACAACTATGAAAAACAATCAATGCCAGGTTATATTAAGCCTCAGGCTGCCACAATATTTTTGATTGTATTTGTTGTCATGATGTCAAACAAGGTTCAGGAACAGCATTACCCTTGAAACTATAAAAAACATATTAAAAATGCCCAAGAAAACTTTCTTTTACCGACTATGTCAGCAAAAAAAATCCTGTGTGTGGCATTACTTGCTTCTGACTGATGCTCAGAGAACATTGGTTTCAGTTAACCTTAACTCATCAAGTTTTACAAATTTTTCCCCAAACCTGCATTCCTGTGAAAACCCTCAGCATCACAGCTCAGTAGTTTCCCCTCACTCATTTTTCTCTACATTTTTCACCTAATAAGAGAAGGTGAATCAAATTTACATGAAGATTCTTTCTGGGTTAAAATTAAATGCTGTCTTTTGCCGTTGTTGTTGTAAAAAACACTTCCAAATGGGAATATTTGGATCCTCTGTGCCAGAGCTGCACATGAACTGAGCAGCTAAAGCACCCAGCAGGGCACAGAAAGGAAAAGCAGCAGCAGTCTGCAGGCTGAGCCAGTGAGGAACAGTGGTTTTCCTGCTAGGTTTAACCTGTAAATTACTGCTACTTTTTCCCTTAAAATTGGGTACATACTACAAAATTATCTTTATTTCAAGTGGCCTCTTTCAAAAAGAGCTAATTGGAGCTGGGAATATATTGCTTGCATCACCTTGAATAGAAAGAGTTGCTAACACACTGCCTGCTGACTAAACAAATAAAGTGTAAATATGTGCAAAAAAAGAGTTTTCACAAAAGCTAATACTCTTTCTTAGTTCTAATTTAGTACTAGAGCCATTTAAGGGCAAATGGAATAAGTTAGAGAGAGAATAATGGGAGGACAGAGAGGGTTAGTGCCTGCCAGTGTGTAAAGAGTTCCTTAGATACTGCTCAGATTAACCATTGCAATATCCACTCAGCATCTACCTGAGGAGGTACCACAACGTTCTCTCGTGCTGACTTTACAGCAAAACAAACTAAGGATTTTACAAGTTACTTTGCTGGAATCAGCTCTCACTCCCCAGAAGGTTTTCAGTCTTTCAGAACGTTAACAAAAAACACAACATTACTCCTCAGCCAGTCTTCTGCGTGCTGAAGGCAGCATCGGTATTAAAACAGCAGCGGAAAAGGTGAGCGACCGTCAGGTAGGAAGGAGAGAGCCTGTTGCACACAGGCACTGATCCTTGTCATCTAGAAGAAGAAGAGCAGTGATTGAAGGCAGGAGCTCACTTACAGCAATTCCTTCAGCCTCTCCTAGTTCCGTTTGTCTGGCTGGGCACCAGCAGAAGCAACTCGACGAACGGGCACAATGGAACTGCTGGAGCAGTGAGTGCGCGCAGGCATTCGCCGCTGTTATAACCATCAAAGAGAGGGAGGAGCCAGGCTAAGGGGCTTCTGCACAACGTGCCAGCTCCTACTGCAGACTCCAGGGGCACCTTGGGCTTTAGGAAAGAGAGGAGGAGACTACACCCAGCAAAAAGACAATGTTTGGAAGCAGTTTAGTCCAGCAGCTGAATACTACATTGAGACTCAGAAAACACTGCTACTGGCCTGCTGTGTGGTCCTGGGAATGTCTCTCTAGAATAGTGTCCTATCGAGCTGTGCCCATCTCTTCTGTCTATCTATAGTGTAAGCTGCTCGAGACTTTCTCCACTCAGTGACTGTCTCAGGAGATCAGCTGGGGGACTCATTTATAAAATAAAAAAACCCCTAAACCATTACATGTATCTGGTACCTCCATGGAATGCCTAGACAGCTGAAGGAAGGCCTGAGCTTCAAGGTAAACCATTAAACTCCTCTCTGAATTGTACAGTTCTGTTTAATACAGAGTACAGAAGTGACATTCTTGTTCCCTTCATCCATCCACTTACCAGTTTCACTTCAAAAGTGAGCTAAAGTACAATGCTGCCAAGTGGCTGATTCTGTAGGGCCAGGTCATTTATAAATACACACATCAAGGCACCATAATAACAAAGAAGCGCCTTCACAGGAATTCAGCAGAGCAGAGTATTAGAGTTCATCCTGCAGGGGAGCTGGAACATGGCCACACTTAAATAAGAAACAAAAATTTACTCCCTACTTGACTTTAAGCACTGTTTAAGACGGGAAACTCTCCAGCAGCTTGCACATCTTGGCTTTCTTCCCTAAGCTTTTTCTATACTTGCCACTGAGTAAAGCAATTCTTAAACATCAACACAGCTTGCCTTCTGCAGAGTCAAAAATTGCTTCAATTTCAATAAAAAATGCTTAGAAGATTGCATTTGGTGAAGCTTGCCCTAACAGAGTTCAAGGGCTTGACTCATAGCTCACTGCAATTAGACCCTAGATCACTTTTAATGCACTTCAGACCCCAGATGGCATAAATCATTCTTGCAATATAAATTATGGCAAGATGCTAAGATATGTTGCAGAGAAGAATTATATCCTCTCTACAGGACAAAACAGAAAAAGAATCCAGCAAGATCTATTCACCTTGGATTTCTCTGAGGCTTTGACCTGGCTACAGGTTCATTTCCAGGTACAATCTTTGGCAGTTTGAATATGATTTGTTTTTCACATTCTCAACTGATAGCTATGTCCTAGAGATTCTAGCAAAGGGCTGCATGTAGAGGGAAATTTGCAAAAGTCCAATAAGCTGAGGTTTCCAGCTGCTTTTCATGAATATTTTCTAGGCTTTAGTAAGATGCTTATTACGGTCTGTGATTTTTCACAGCTGGCAGCTAACAAGGGCTGATAAGCTCAACTACCAGCAGCTGAAAGCATCTGAGCACAGACAAAAACAGTTTTTAAAGATACAATCAAATGTTCATCATCAGTGTTTTTAAACACTAAGTTGGAGGAATACAGACCATAAATCCCAAATCCAGCCATATGTAATACACTGCTTGTAATTTGGCAACTTTGGACTTCTCATCTTACAGTTTAATGAACTGAAAAACATGGAAGAGCTGCGGAAAAGGGACTATATGTATTGTCACTGTGCAAGCCAGCAGGAATAGATACAAAATGGGCTTTCTTTAGGCAGCATTACTGATTTGATAGATGGATGAGCCAAGTCATAAATCCCAAATCCAGCCATATATAATACACTGTTTGTAATTTGGAAACTTTGGACTTCTCATCTTACAGTTTAATGAACTGGAAAACATGGAAGAGCTCCGGAAAAGGGACTATATGTATTGTCACTGTGCAAGCCAGCAGGAATAGATACAAAATGGGCTTTCTTTAGGCAGCATTACTGATTTGATTGATGGATGAGCCAAGGAAGGGTTCTCACATGGGTTAGTAGAACCCCCCTGGTTAGAAAGGGTTAGTAGAACCCCCCTGCTCTCACTGCCTTTCTCTGCCCATTCTCAGTCAGTTTGTCAGACCATCAGACCTATCGCAGTAGCTTTTCAGTCACTGACCTTCTTGAAGAGCAATGCTTTCAACTGCCTTTCTGAACTCCTTCACACCTGCCAGGCTTTAGTTCCATTGCAGGACATCCTGATGGAGCAAACAAACATTGTGCCATATTAGCAAGTGCCTGGATTTGGATGCCTCCTACGGATTCCTAAGTCTCTTGTCCTACAGGTCTGCCACTCTAGTAGAAATCTGGCAAGCAGTGACTACCACAAAGTAAATGTCACTACTTTAGGAGATGGCACGCACTGCCCACTGTGGTTTCATGCTCAACCTGTTTCACATTGCATCTGCCCACAATTTCACATGGAGGAGGGAGAATCTGCTTTTTCATCTCGATTATCATATGAATGGTGGAGAAGATCATAAAGAGAATAAGAGCAGTGAGGCATTCATAACAGAAATCAGTGCTGCTCAGAACCTCAGCTCCTGACTCTCCACTGTTACCAAATCTTTATTGCTTTCCTTACCGTTTCAGACAGCACCCTGCCAGCTGAGAAGATCTGAGTAAGCAACTTTCCTTTTCCTTGATGAAGATCAGATGAAAGAGCAAAAGTGCCTAGTAAGCTTCTGCCAGTCAACAGTGTAGGTACCATGAAATAAATTCCATTAATAGCAATAAATGGCCACATCATTAATGCCCTTATGTGGTATAACAACACAAGCTGTAAAGGTAGTTACTATTCATGTGGAAGCAGGAGAGCAAAATTCACATGTAGCCTAGTAAGTTAAATCCAGACACCGTTTTTTAAAAATTCAAACAAAAACGTTTTGAAATGCTACATGATACTGCCTTCTGTGAGGTGCATTAATTTAACAAGTATTGCTTAATCAATTAAAGATAAAAATAATCTGCTTGTGAAACTTGGATCTTTCAAAAGACACAAATAGACCTTTTAAACATTAACTTTTTAAAGCTGTCAAGTTGCATGTTCTTTCTTGCTTTAAAGATAAAAAAGCAGCAACTCCCTGCAGCTTTTCAGCCCAAGACTAAAGTATTACAGAGTGACTTTTCGTCTAGAGAATGTTAATGAAATTTCCTTTGTGTTAAGACACAATGTGAGACTAATCTTGGCAGATCACACATTTCTGCTGCTGATTTACCTTTTTTTCCTTCAGAGACTGCAATGATATTGCAGGGTTACTTCAGTGCATGTTCCAAACCTTTGTTGCACAAACTTCAAGGGCCTCTCATCCAAACTATGAAGACGAGCAATGAAGATCTGAGCCAGGGTGGAAAACTGAGAGAATATTTTTAGACAAAACATACTGAAGACCTTTTGAAAAGATTTAGTCATAGAATTTAACCCCTCCCACTCCCTGTCTCCATGTCACAATGATATCACTAGCTACAGTTAGCCTTACATTTTGATATTTCAGAGTTTAAATGCTTGTGGCCAAATGATACTAAAATTAGAAACCCAGAACTCCTTTCTAGCCCTGCAATCCACAGCAAAATGACCGATCCTCAGGAGACAGTAAGAACTCAGTAACACAGACTTTCACCATGAACTTTGCTGGGACAGGAAGAGAAGACATTTTTGAATGACACAGATGAAGACCACATTTTAGCTGCATTATTTTCAGCCAGACTTTAAAGAACCTCAGCAATGAAACAGGGCTATCTATCTTACTTGCAGAGCTGTAAAGGAATAAATTAGGTCCTTGGATTATGTCTGTTTGGCTGCTAATTACATGAGTTGCCCTAGAATTTTCACCTACAGAGCCACTGCTGGCTGCCAAAGACATCACCTCCTAACAACCCAGGTGGTGTGTATCACACAACAACAGGATGCCAGTCCCTACCAGTACCTGCATGTGTTTTGGTGGGCCTGAGAAAATCTGAGCTGGATCTGAAATGGCTACCACACTGAAAAAGAGTAAAATTAAATGTTATCCACTAAGGAATGTTTAAAACAAAGCAAATAGAATTAACCTTGTTTATATACCACAAACTTCTAGACCGCATAGAAAAAGTGTTACATTACAGCTAAAGAGTCAACAGCTGGAAGGTTAAATATGTTTATTTTAGTAGTTTAAGGTGGTTTTACAAACAAATTTTTAGATTTTGCAATATACACAAAAGAATCATTACAAACAAAAGCAAAATATCCTCTCAATAATAGGGACTCTATGCAGCCTGAAATAAAATTAAACCTCTTTTCTCTTTAAAATGCATCTCAGTAAACATTCTTCTCCATCACTGATAAAATGTACATCTATAATAAATGACATAATAATTGGGGGGGGACAACATCCCTAAAAATAAAAAGTAAAAAAAATCAGGGAGGAAAAATTATTATTCTGGTTAGGCTAGTATTTAATTCTAAATATGTCCATCTAAAAAAATTAAATATCTCTTTTTTTAAAACATATCATTGAAAACTTTGCATGGCAGTGCAATACAGAAATAGTAAAATTCATCCAAAAAGTGCTATGTACAGCAGCATTGTTAAAATACCATAAAGAAGGGAGAGTGCTGTTTCCAATAAAAGCCTAGCATGCTTTTTAGCCATTTCTGAATTAAATTCAGAAGATATTTCCTGTCTATTTTTAGTAATTCCCTTCTCTTACCTGTCTCATTCCCACAGATTATGTTTTGAGACAAGGAACAGTCACAGTTCAGTTTAAGTGTGTGCATGTGTACATATATGTGCAGACACACACAGGTATATATATATTTATATATATAAACAAGCTTGGTTTAAAAAAGCATTGCTTTGGAACGTAGTGAGAGCTCTTATTCAAAGAGTGAGAAAATATGGATTTTCACTGAAATAAGCAGGTCCACAGTGGGAGATGGACTTTATCTACTACATTATTAATTCATGAAACAATTACACTGGAATTTTGAGTATTTCCCAGAGAAGACACCCTCAGAGGCCTCAAACTCTTCCAAAAGATAAAACAGAACAGGGAGCATGATTTTAAATCCAGCCTCTTTTCCCAGATCCACAACTGGCAAGAGCAAAATTTACCTTAGCTGTCATTAACATCACATAGATGTTTACCTATTGTAAGAAGCAATTACTGAAATTAGTAAAGAACATAAGATTTGCACAGAGCAAACTGCAAATGCAAAAAAGTGGTCGCACACAAAGGAAGCCAAATTTGAGGCTGGGAAAAATATAATTTAAAAAAACCCAAAGGAGGTCAGATCATTAGGACTGTAAAAATGTTAAGTCGCTGATTTCACTTGATTGTTCTGTTTCCACAAACGGCCAACAAATTTAACACTCATCTATTCTTTTGGATTCACGATATTAAGTTCCCTTACAGTCAAGGGAAGGCCAGGAAGCACTAAGCCATATGAGGATATTTTGTGCCTCTCAGGTCACTGTGTTTTGTTTTGACAGGAATGTAAACATTGCCTTATTCAGTGCTCCCCAGAACTACAGTTTCAGCATAAAGAAGACTTCTGTGTCAGCGTTATAGTCCGTTTGGTTTTTAGGCTGGGATGTAAACACGGCAGGAGAAGCTACATCCATACAACCTGCTTTAGCAACGCTGCAGGCTCCCTCTGGATTTCCCCTCTCCTCAATGGGGCTCCCGCTGAGCTGGCCCAGGCTCTGCAGCCGCTGTCTCTCCTGAGCTTGCTTGGCCCTGTTGGCAATGTACCGCACCCGGCTCTGACTGCGCGACGAAGACCTGCGGAGCAGTCCCAGGCTCTCCCCTTCCTCTTCAGACTCCGTTGGATCAAGACTGATAGGGGAAGTGATATCATTTTCCTGCTGAAAGGCCGTCAGCTTCTTTAGCTGCTCAGTCAGTCCATCCTGGGATTTGACTGAGGATCTCAGGCCTGAAGAGCGGCGCTGCTCCCGCATCGACCGAGTGACAAAGCTCCTGCTGATGCTACGGTATTTGCTTTCGAAAGTGCAGACAATATCATCAGAGGTAAGGTCTCCAAGACTCTTGGATTTTGCCTGGTTGTTCCCAACCATATCCTGTGCTTTGGATTTGTTAGAAGACTGTCTGAGACTTTCCATGTATAGCCTATTCCAGGTGTGCCTTCTGGGAATGGATGAGAATGAGTCTTGAGGGCTCCTGGCAAGAGGACGGGGGCACAATTCATCTGCTGGAAGCTGGCCAGACCTCAGGTTAGGATTGGATTTGCTCTTGCTCACCATTGGCATCTCATTACTGGATGTGGTAGCAGATCGTGGGCGCATACCCTTTCTTATGGCAAGGGGCTCAAAATTTTCATGACGGATGCCAAGATCTGGGAGGCTTTTGCGAGCTAGATTGGGTAGAGAGAGGTCTATCACAGTGTCATTGGAGGACATGCTGGAAGAGGAAGACATGCTGTCACGATGATTGCTGCAATCTAGCTTGCTCCAGATCCGGTCATTAACAGTGGCATCAAAGTATACTTCTGCTGCTGGAGACAGGCTATTCGGAATTTTTATTAAGGCTGAGGAGTCCAACATCTTCAGTCCTTCACTCTTTGACCGTCTTACTAACATGTAAGAGTTTGTCTGAGAAACAGAAGCAGGTAGAGCCTGTCCAGCCTGGGCTTTCTGGAGCGTATCTGGAGGCAAAGTTGTCTGTGTGCTGTTAATAACATTGTTTTGCTGCACTGGAACAGCTGCTGCACTGAGTTTTTGGCCTTTGGATTCAGTGGTTGTTTTCATGTCTGATAACACCTGACCTGACTGGTCATTTTCCTTCTGGCAGTTTTCAGCAGGTTGGGTATCAGTCCTCCCTGCTGCCGCTACCAGCCAGCCCTTCTGAGGATGCGCCGCCAACCCAGACTGATCTTCAGCTTTACCACATGCCTGTGTCCAACCATTTGCTTCTTTGAGACATCCTGCCATGCTCGTCCTCTCATCTTGGACTGCTAAACTTGTGTCAGTTGCTCTTGTGACTACCTGCACTTGGTCTTCTGCAGCCAGATTTGTTCTTTGTTCTCGAGTGAGTAGAGGCTCTTGAGGCTGGTTGGATGCGCCGCTTGCTTCTGATCGAGATTCGGCGGAATGGTCAGACACAGACCCTTCTTCAGAATCACTGTAAGGAGTAACAGGTAGAGGGAAGAAAGGGCTGCTGTGGTGGGTTTCATTGGCAATAACAGGCTCCTCAGTGATAGTTTCGAGGCTGCATAAAGAAGTGACTGACCTCTGTATTGAGAAATGGCGGACATCTACTTGGGAGGCATGAAAAGATAGGGGGAAAAAAAAGAAACAAGAAAAACAGAGATACAGGGTTAATTAGTGATTACAAATTGCAGTCTAGCTGAAGATTTAATCTTTATGTGTTATCATTTTGTTTTTAAGGTAGCAGTTGCATATATTCATCAGGATTTTTAAAATACCTTGAGTTCAAACATTTGGCTGAAGGCAGCAAAACCTTCTGCTTATTCAGTTCTAGCTGCCCAAAAGCCCTGTTGCTTTCAAAAAAAATCTCAGTCCATGCACAGCAGCACCATGTTACTTTTCTGATTATACTATTCAAACTGTACCCATCAGTTTGTGTCCTTGTATGCCCTCTCATCAACTAATTTTTCTTCCCACCATCCAGCACCACTTGAATTGCTCTTTTCCTTCCTCCCAGCACTCAAACATGTCAGTTTATGAATTCATGATCAGACCATCTATAATAACCAGAACACCACTGCCCAAACAACAGATATGATCCCAATAATAAGTACTCAGAAGAGCAGCAGCACAGGACTTTGGGAGTAAATTACAAATAAAATGATCCATATACATACAAAGGAACGTAGTCAAAATGCCTTTTAAAAACAAAACAAAAAGTTTAAACAGATGAACTTTGTTTTCTGAAAAAAGGTTGCAATTTCTTTTGCACAAAACTATAGGGATGCGTGGCTCACAAACACCAGGCTGACAGCACAATCCTGAAGAGTCACTACAGCCACCAATTCCCCGAAAAAAATGCTCCATCCATCTGCAATGTTTATTACCTGTAGGCTAAGAGCCAAAGCAATCATGCCAAAAAGACTCTTTCCCACATCTCCAAACCACAACGCAAACATGCATTCAAGAACCAGCAAAGCAATGCTAAGCCAGACAACAACCTCAAGAATATGGGAGCAGATAATTAGAAGGGAGGAAACAAACAAAAACCGGGACTACAGGCAACAAGGTGCTTGAATCAGTGACACTCAGTAGACAGTTACCTTTGACTTGCTTGTCCTTTCAGTTCTTAACTAGAGAGAGATAGTGTGCATGTAGAATAATAGGACAGAACAGAGGAAAAATCCAGTTAATGTAGGGAAGGCAGGTGCAGATAACAGGATAAATTAGTGCTGAGGGAGGGAAGGGAAACAGACAGAAATATTCACACATTTTTGTAGGATCCTAAGAATTTCCGACCAACCAGAGCACTCAATGGAATCCATAAATGGACAGATATTAAGTTCATTATTTTATCATAGAAGAATAATAGGCAATTTTTGCTATTGTTCAAGAAATGCACTCCACTGGAGTGGGGAATGGAAGCTATCCTCCTCTTCTCCAAAGCCCTAATGCTATATATAAAAAAATCATCTTCATTATCAAAAAATGCCAAGGATATATTGGGCCTTTCCTTTCAGCACCAGTACTTCCCACCCAGTGTAGTGACACGATGGTTAACAACGAGACAGCTGTTCAACGGGCAATATTCTGTTAGCTGGGAGTGTTAGAGGGGGAGAAGGCACATGTGCCATGAGCAAAATCCACCATCCACAACACAGCAGACTCTTCAGTATCAGGAGGAGTCCAGAGCTGATCAGACTAACGAGCTCTCCGTCTCCCCACCCAGGCGGGGCCATCCATCAGCACAGATTAAGGGACACTTAGAAGGTAAAATACTGGAAACCTTAATGCCGTTGCCATAAAGGGGACAAGGAGAGTTGCCCCCCTATAGCTTCCTGTCCCATCCTTGCGGCGCTTCCCATCAACAGAATGTTAATTATGAAACGCAGCCATATTAGGCTAACATTTTTGGTTTCCTTGGTTTCTTGGCCCAAGGCAGTAAAATAGCAGGCGGATGGGGAAAGCGTGCTGTTTGTGCAAACATGGTGTTTGTCCCTGGATCCTCAGCATCCAGTCCAAGTGCCTGTTTCACCATTTTAAAGGTTTGCCGATTCCATGCTTGAGAAGTCAGATGGATTTAATCAAATTTCAAGCATATCACAATATTTATTTAGTGACTTGGGGGGCTGGCGGGGGAGCTGGCACTGATAATGGGAAATGGTTTCACATGTCACACTACTCAGAGCTTATGAAAAGGCTAATGCCAATAATTTAGGCACAGAAAGAGTTCTGCTGCCTTGGATTCATTTCAAGTCACGGGAACCGGCAAACTTCTTCCCTCCCCCTCTTATTGTCCTGCTATTTTCCTAAAAGCTCAAAGCAGATATTGGAAAAAAAGATGTAAAAAAAAAAAAAGAGAAATAAAGAGAAACTGTAAACCCAACCAGGTTAAATTAATTAAAGAAATAGAATATTTTAAATTTCTGTATAAGGCTCTCAAAGAAGCCCACTTCAGGTGAGCAGTCAGAATGTTTTACTAAAAAAGGGATTATGTCTTGCGAAGCACCAAAGTCACTTAATTGTTCCTGAAAATGTAACCATCAATGTCCAAATTCCTTGGACAATTAAGGGGGGAGGGAAGGGATCTTTTAGTCAGAGACAAAAGCTGTATTTCTTTACTTCCCCTTCATAATTCTATGAAACAGAGGAAGTCTTGTCAAAATCTCTTCCTTTCCCTCCCCCTCGTCCTGCCAAATCAGGAGGGAAAAAAGCCAGTTTCAAACAGAATATTTTAAATTTCTATATAAGGCTTTCACCACTTTAGGTGAGCAGTCAGAGTGTATTACTAAAAAAGGGATTATGTCTTGCGAAGCACCAAAGTCACTTAACTGTTCCTGAAAATGCAACCATCAATGTCCAAATTCCTTGGACAATTAAGGGGGGAGGGAAGGGATCTTTAGTCAGAGACAAAAGCTGTATTTCTTTACTTCCCCTTCATAATTCTATGAAACAGAGAAAGTCTTGTCAAAATCTCTTCCTTTCCCTCCCCTCCCTCCTGCCAAATCAGGAGGGAAAAAAGCCAGTTTCCTTATTAAAATATAAAGCCTGATTGCTTCTGTTCCTATTTTCCATCTTTACAAATGTATAGTTCACGGGTATAGATAGAGTCACAAGGCCCCTGTGACCACATGCATAATCCTGCCTTCAAACAACCATAAAATGCTGCAGTTTAAGGTGCCTTCCTTTAAATGGAGATGTTTGATTTTACAATTGGGAAATGCTAACAGGCCAGTCCTCACGTGGCCCATGTAAGTAACATGAGGTCACATCCCTTGCTTCTTTACCTCAGGTGACAAGCAAATCACGTATGTAAAATTAAGCACATCTATAAATGTTTGCATACTGGGGATTTATCCGTTTAGGACCAGAATGGTCTGCTATGTGAACATAGTGAAGTGCAATACCCTGAATAACCCAGACCAGGGAATTCCATCCAGTAATCCCTGAACTGATGGTGGTAATTTTCCAAGTTTTTTTGAGAAGGAAGTGGTTTTGTTGTCAGCAGAGTGCACACCAGCTGTCATTGCTGATGTGGTTATTCCTCAGTGAAACACAAATACCGATAATGGAAATATTGTTTGTTAATATGGGTTTCCCATATTCAAGCTCTTCTTAATGCTCTGGTTTGGATCTTAAAATTTACTTAGTATCATACCACATTCAGTAAAAACAAAACAAAACAAAAACAAACAAAAAACAAGGAAACAAAAAAGCCCTGAACAAACAACCCAAGCATTCATGGACTATTGACAGCTTTACTGCAGATGGTTAGCTAGGCATGGAAAGCACTAATCTAAACCAGACACGTCTATGAAAAAACTAAAATAAAAATATTTATGCAGACTTTTTTTCTATCATTGCCAAAAATAAAGAAAAAAGAGCTCTTAATAGCAAAACAACATACAGGAACTTCTAAGTAAAGATGCTACGTAGAAGCTGAGACAATGATGCGATCTAAGGTGGAGAAGGGTGAAGAAAATCTGGTCTTACCAGTAAAGAATATAGGGGATTTACTTCGAATTTCCTCCAATTTTTGAACGAACAAGGCGTTCATTTCCCTTTGTAGGGTGCCCACTTGCCTTCGAGAAGTTTCAGGCCAGCGCTTGGGGAATTCTGGGCTTCCAAGGCTTTCTAGACTGCTGGAGTTGGAGGATATAGAGCCATTGCTGGCTGCAACCAAGTTGACAGTGCTTCCATACTTGCCACCTGATTGGCACTGCCACCGCTGCCGGGAAGGAGCCTTTATTCCATGACATTTAGATTCAAGATTTTTCTTCCCCGGGGTCACAAAAGACTGGGTGCTTCTTGTTAGATCATCGGCAGTTCCAGGGCTGCTGCAAGACTGCAAATCTGATTGCCGCATGGGCTGACCTTTAACAGCCCAGTTTTTTAGCTCTAACCTCTCTTCTCCAGTTATACTGCTATACTGGTCATGGTGAAGTATATCTTTAGCAATAGGCCTGGTAGGATGGTCACTCCACTCGCTTTCTAGATCTGGGCTTTCTTTGGAACCAATCATACATTTCATGCAATTGGTGGCCACTCCAATCCTACCAGAGCTGTTGATGGCACAGCGTGCAAAGACACTTTGCTTCTCGCTCTGGTGCTCCTGAAGCCGGACCCTGTTAGACCTCTGTATGGGTTCACTGAAAGCAGCACCCCCTTGAGCACAACTCTGGCTTTTGGCTTTACGAGAACTATGGGCCTTACCTTTCAACACCTTGCCATGTACCTCCCCACTGGCACCATCTCTGGGAGCTGGTGACAGAGAAGCACTTTCTGGCTCTTGCTCAAAGCGGGGCTGTGAAGCAGCTTCCACTTCTCGGTCTTCGCCGGCCCCTTCAGAACTGTTGTCTTTTGAGTCAAAAGCAATTTCAGGAAAGCCTTTCTTGTTCTTCTTCTGGCTTTTGGTGGGTGCACTGGCTGTCCGTCTCAAGATGTGGCTGCTAAAGGAATGTTTGCGATGAAGCTGCCCAGCAGCATGACTGTCCAGAGAGGCCTGCTTTGGATTTCTGAGAAACAGGCCTTTTAGACCCAGAGCTTGTTTGGCCTGGAAAGTTAAAAAAAAAAAAAAAAAAAAAAAAAAAAAATGTCAAATCTAATTTTTCCTTTCTCTTAAACTGGAAATACGGACTAGAACTCGTACTTTGGACAAGAAATTTGTGGCATGTAAGAAAGGTCCCAGCTCTGGAACAAAACTGAATGCTCTGAGTAAATGAGAGGAAGAAACTGAAAATAAATTTTAAAAAAGCAACTACAAACCAAGCCATAGAAATGGTGGTGGTTTTAAAAAGTTACTCTAAAATCACTTTAATTTTGTCACACAAAATGAGGTGGTTACAGAATTTAACTGATAGTGACCTCTTAAGCTAAAGACCATTCTTGACTTAAAACATATAATAATAAATTGGACCTTCAAATGGAGATTTACATTCATTAGATTTACACTCCAATTGAATTGAGCAGTGTCCTGAAGAGCAGTTGAACTGTCCGCACGACAATCAGTCATTAAATATTCTGCTTTCTACCTGTGTACCTACATTTTGATCATTTCCTACCATACAACACTTATCCAAAGACACTCATGTCTGTTTCCATCACTGAAGAAGCACACTATAAACAAGCGAAGTTAGTCAGGGTGATAAGACAGTGCTTCATATACTTCAGTACTTATTGAAGCATTAAACATATATATTTACCACCATAAATCTCCCACCATCATACAACGGATATGGAGATTTACATTCTTTAGATCTACACTCCAATTGAATTGAGCAGTGCCATGAAGAGCAGTTGAACTGTATGCACGACAATCAGTCATTAAATATTCCGCTTTCTACCTGTGTACCTACATTTTGATCACTTCCTACCATACAACACTTATCCAAAGACTGTTTCCATCACTGAAGAAGCACACTATAAACAAGCGAAGTTAGTCAGGGTGATAAGACAGTGCTTCATATACTTCAGTACTTATTGAAGCATTAAACATATATATTTACCACCATAAATCTCCCACCATCATACAACGGATTTACATTTCAGCGAGCCAGAGTTTCAGCATTCCTGTGAACATTCCAGCTGTACTTGCCAACTTCTACAGCAACAAACTGAAGCCTGACAGAGGGTGCTGGTTCTGGTCTGTTCATAGAGCCTCGGACACATAAATCACTTAAAGCAAAGAAAGGGGTATTTCCCTGCTAATCTACTGCTCCTTATTTGTTCTCTTTATTTCCCAGTCTGACCAGACTCTCTTTAGTAGCTGTAGCATAAAAATAGAGTAGAGGAGCCTGTGATTGAAATGCATTGTAAGAAACCCCTGATAAAGTTTGACCAGCATCCCCGCTTGGTGGCACTTGCTGTCAGTTCCATTTTTACCCTGTGATGTCATGTGAGGTCACATTCCTGCAGCGCCAAACAACGGCACAGAAATGTCTCATTTAAATCACAACGGTCTGTCTTTCACCCCAAAGTATCAAAGTGCACACTCACGCATTTCAAATTTTGCTTTGTAGGACTTATAGGGCAGCTATTGCTGCACTGTAGGGTAAGTCTGGGTTAAAAGCTGCTTTTATTCACAAGTGACCTGTGCAACCTGGCACACGGGATGGAGGTCCATTTGGCTGACACAAAGCCCAGTGAAAGCACTCAGAATATTATTTCAGGCTCTAATTGACTGAAGTTTAGTTACCATGGGCCAAGATCCAGTGTGAGGAGGAAGTGATTAAAAAGAGACATAAAATGGCCTTTAAACATGTATGGATTGCTTTTTCCCATACCAGCTAGAGGAAATATAATTTAAATATTAATAAACTTCCTGTAAAGGCAGACTATTGAACAGTCTGCTTGCATCGTTGTGGATTCATTTTCACCAGAAAGCTTCAAAACAAGATTTTGCATTTGGTAAGGAGTGAAGGGACAAAAAGCATTCTGCTCCAACTAAGGCAAGTTGGCAAGTACATGAATTTATTGCTATAAAAATCAGACAACACAGATATTTGCAAAACCCAGAAAAAAAAAACTGTCATACATACACACACAAATAACATCCAAGAAAAATAAAAGAGCAGCACTGATGGGATGGGTGACACGCAGTGCAGGGCCCCAGGTATCATTCTAGCTTATCTGGTGCATTGCTGTTAAGCCACTATTGCTTGAATCAATGGAGTGATTCAAGAACCCAAAGACAAATTTGGTTAATTTAGGAAAAAAAAAGTTTAAAAAAAAGGAGAAAAAAGAGAGCTGACGGAGATCCAGAACATGTGCTTTCAGCTTCTAAGCCCAGCTTTTACAGGGCTATTTCATTCTTTAAGCAAACTCGAAAAACAGCACAAGAGGCTTTCCCACAATTTAGCAAACAATTCCCTGTTAATGTTCTTTTCCACGTGAAAGACGTGGTTTGAATTGTAGCACGGCAGAGAAAAGACAAGAGAGGGAGAGACTCAAAGAGGAGAGAAAGGGAGGAATTTATCCTGGATCTCCTTCATACATGGAGGGATTTCTGGCTGATCAACGACCCAACAGAACTGATCAAGTCAAATGTTGCAATTCATGTCACATGAGTTGAAGAGCTTCAAAATGCTAATAAGGAAACATTGATGTTAATGAAGCAACTAGTTAGAGGCATGCAGGTGTGTGGTGGTGGTCACTACACCTCCCGGAGACAGGAGGGGGTACCTTCAAGGCGTCTAAAAACGCTCTGCTTCTAAAAGTAGACTTTTTTGACATAGAGAAGCCCACTGAAATCACAAACAGACAGAGCAAAGGCAAAATAACAGTGAGGGAGGATCTCAGAGATATGCACATCTAGAAACCCACAAGAAATTCTGCAATACATGAATAGGCTACAGAAGAGAGAGAGAGAGACAAACAAAAAGCGTTTCCAAGAAATAGCGCAATCTAGAAAGAGATTTCAGTTAAACACAAGTTAAGGTGTAAAAAAAAAATAAGACTCAAGCTACTGAGAGGGTGGAATATCTACATCTAGAAAAAAGTCCCAAAAGCTTGCATTAGAATATCTGGATTAATAAAGTATGGGTAAAACCAGGCTGATAACTGTGGTGATTTTTCTGCCCATAATTACGAGAGTGGAAACAGAGAAATAATTCTAGTTTTAACAGAACTCCGTTAACTGAAAAATCAAAGCAGAGCATGATTCAGAGAGATCAAACCAGAAAGGGCTGTGGAATATTTGTTTCATATTTTCAGTAGTGTTTATTAAAAATTATACATTTTAAAAAAAACCCCACATACAAGTTTTCCTTCCAAATCCTTGCATTTTCATCACACCAGCACACAGCACCAGCATCTTAACACCAGCAAACTCGCAGAGACTGCAATGATCATGAGAAGCAATAAGGAATGTCTAATAGACTTAGAACATGAAACGGGAATAAAGCAATCAAAAAACCAAATCAGGGCAGAAGATTGGTAGCTAGTGGATAAGGACAGGAGATGACACCCTGATACACAAGAGTCTATTGTTTAAAACACTTACCAAGAAAATCTACTGTCCTCAAAATATCTGCCAAAGTTTAAGTGCAATAACAGCAAATAATTATGGAAGGCTAGGTAAAGCAAGGATCCAAAGAGAGATAATACCTTGTGATATTGCCAAAGAAGATTTTTCACCCAAAACTCTTTGAGCTTTCACAAAGACTACGAACATTGTTTCTTTCACAATACACTGCTTTTGAGAGCAGTGACTTGGAAGCTGATGAATTTAACTAATCACTGAGTAAGGCAGGCAGAGCTGTTTGTCTCTTATTTAAAAATCCCATTTACCAGGGGATACTAAGCTACAGACTTTGACTTCCAATGAAGGATACCGAAATATTTGCTATCCTTACAATAGCACTGAGAGAGCAGCACAGAGAACATCACCAGAAAGCAGCAAACAACTGCAGCATCATGAGTGCTCACAATACCAGGAAGAGGAGGATAAGCTGCCTATTCTCCATCACTTTTACTAAGGATAGAACAGAAAAGAAGAATTCACAAAAAGGATGAGTAGGGCTGGCCAGGGCAGTCATCTTCTCTGCTGGATGCATACAGCAAATAGACACCTGCTTTCATTAAAGGACACAGGTGAGGGACACCGTCATTAATCAGATCAATTCAATTCATGAGGCTAAGTGATCTGACTTTCTTGTTACAAGCATGGAGAGTTTGACAGAACTATTCAAGAAAGAGCAATAGATCTGAACACAGGAACTCTAAAGGAGTCTGTAACAAAATTTAAAACTGTTTGAATCAGTCCCAATAGATGTGGCCAACAAGTGTCTGTAAGGTTACCAAGGCAATTGCATCCCTACCCACAGTCAAAACAGGCATGACTTCTGTCCTGTACAGTTCCCTTGAACCCAAAAATCAAGTCAGGAAAGATCTTGGCACTGAAATGTGCAGCCTGCCAGCACTCTTCCCTGAAGCCTGGCACTAAATGGCCTTTTTACCAGGACCTGGGTGCTGTCCCTTTCTCTGTGACAGGCCCTGTCACCAAAATTAAACAGCTCAGCTGCTGTGTTCTGCTCAGACCAACACCCACCCCCCTCTCTGTCACCTAAAGCTCTTAAAGGCTCTTGCTCAGTAGAGCTAAATTCAAACAGATTCATAACACCATCACAGCGAGTTCCAGGGAAGACTCCTAGCCCTCTCAGGATGAAGCTATACCCGCCTAAAGGTTTTGCATTAGACATCAAACCAAAAAAAAAGCAGGAACTGAACAAAAATGTCCTTCCAGAAACAGCACTTCCTTCTATAAATACAAAACAAAGCTTTCCTGGGATTTCTCTCTGTTTCATCCCATAAACGCTTTTATTAAAATCTAGCAATTAAAAAAGCTGTTTTCCTTTTTAAGGATTGTTTTAATTCTTACACAAACAGCACACACAAAAAAGAAACTCAGACTTGCCAGCCTGTTCAACGCCGCCTCCTGTTGTCACGATGCCATTACAGCTTCCTACTAGAGAAACCTCAGCCTGTCATTGCGAGTGAGTATAAACTGGTTTTGAGATTCTCAAGGCACTGTAAGATATTTAGCTTCCCTGGTATGATAAGAAATCCCATCAGTTCATTTACATATGCAAACTCTATTAGCTTACCCCGAAGGCACTCACCTTACCACAGATGTCATTGATAGCCACATGAACGAAGATGGATGCCTCTTCTATACCTTCCAGGTACACGTGTCGGTAACCTGAAACAGAGTGACCAAAGCTGACAAGGAGCTGAAGCAGATGATCCAAAGAGCATCTGGAGACCTTCCTTTCATGAACAGCAAAAGAAATTAACCACTTTTCCCCCAGCTGCCCCCCGCAATAAGCATCACCTGGCCACACTCAGTGACCTGAGTCACACCACTTACAAACTTCACTGCTATTTCTTCTTATCCACTTTGTTTTATAAAAAAGTTGTGTCCTGTTTTTTAACTCATGTCCATTATTGCTGCTGTCAATCAATGACTTAAACTTGACACATTCTCTCTTACAGTCCAGTATTAATACCGCATACATTTCCACCAAGTTCATTTTATTGAGACCAGGCGTTTTCAATCTTAAACACAAACCTTTTTCTTTACTTCGACAGAAAAGAAAAATATACACGGAAGGAGCTGTAAAAGACTGAACTGAAAACAGAAACACAACACTGACAGAAAATGGCATTTAATGACCTGGATCACATTGTTAGAATAGGTAAACACTTATTCTATATTAAACTATTACTGACAGTAATATGACAAATCAAAACTCTATTGTCTTTCAAAAACTGGTGTGAAGAAAATGGAGGAAAAAGCTGTATGAGGTAACAGGAGTAAATATTCTGTATGGCAGTCTTCCAATTCCACAATATTTAGCCATCCTGTTTAACAATCTCACCTATGTTTTTGAAAATCTAGTCCCACAGAGTTAATTGATTTAGTCTTCATCACCATAAGTCCAGTAGTGGACCAAGGCAGAGAACTCAGGGTCCAAACTCCCAGACTCTTGTTCTAACTGGGAATTTCTGCAGCAGAGCTACATACACACATTAATCCAGCATTTGCAGCTTCAGTTATCACAGAGAAAAGTCCCAGCCAAATGATTTGGGATGTCAGCATTTCTGGCTTACCTGGCATCATACTGCTGAAAGCTATTGTTCTCTGTCCAATAAAATCCCTCCCGATTGGATCGTGATCCCACACAAGGAACCGAATCAGTGCAATCTCTGGCATGTGCACTGTGAACACCAGCGTTTCCTCCCACATGGGGTTAAAACCTCAGAATGAAGGAATCAGCTTTTAGATATTTCATTCACAACATGCAAGAAGAAAGAAGACTGCCTACATAGGGAATGGTTAAACATGCAATGTTATTCTAGATTTCCTAACAGTTCGATCATTTTTCTTGGAAAATCCAATACCGCCACTCACTTCAGAAGACAAAACAGCACAAGAATTTGCAAGAAACATAGTTGGATCTTATTTAAAGTTGGCCCTGCTTTCAGCAGGTGTTTGGCCAACCTGACTTTCTTTTGACCACAGCAAGCTCCAGATACCCTTGTCTCTCACACAGTGAGACCCGTCTTACACCCAGAGCTTCACAACATTACACCAACTCAGTCAAAGAATTCAAGACCCAAGTCTGACTAACATCAAGAACATTTAAATTGATTTGTCAGTGATTTGCCCTAATGGGTACCAAATTTTATCTACTTGTATCATTATGAACAAAACTTGCCTGAAAGAGTATGTTTCAGCTACAAAAAAACCCAAACCCTAAGAACCACAGAATCTTACCATTATCATCAACTACTCTAGTTTGTTCTTTGAAGCAATCAACAGGTAAGCCTATAACTTCTACTTCAACAAATGGATCTATAATCTGGAAAACAGAAAGTAAAAAATATTGAAAAAAGAGCGACAAAGATGAAATTCAAGCACACAGCTTTGACAATGTGGCCATTGTATGTCATTGTCTTAATAATTATTGGTCCTGAGCCTTTCTGTAATGGATTATTATGCAGATGAGAGATGTCTGGCTAAATCAAAAGTATAATTTAGAATAATCACGCTGTATGCATTTGTGATCGTTTCTCTGTTCTACTCTATTTCTCTGTTCTAAAATGAACTTCAAAAACACTGTTCTTCATATGAACACTTTCTAATTTAGTGGATATTTGAGTAAAACCTTTAAAATATATTCAAAATGAACATGTACGATAAATGTGTTCTAAAGCAGCAACGTTAAAATAAGCCCAACAACAATCATCTGTTAAAAGTCTCAGTGTCCCATACCTCTCCTCTGTCTCCCAACATGGAATCCCGAGGTTTTGGGAGTTGTTGACCACTGATAATTCTCAGAACCAGCTGTTTCTTCAATTGACCAGGCAGTGGGTCTTCAGAATTTGGATTAAACACACCTGTAAGAATAAGAAGTCACATAATGTGAAATAAGTGTGATTTTGGAGATGACTTTAATTAGAAAAACCTTCTCTCTTATTTTCTTCATGCATCAAAAATGCATTTTTAACAAACTATAATAAGGATCCACACCCACTCTCCTCATGCAGTAAGCGATCCACTTATTTTGTTCGCTTTTCTTACCTTGACACATGCAGTTTGGTTTGAGGACATAGCCACAATTCCCATTGGCACTAAATTTGGCCCGGTTCAGTTGCAGCATTCTTCCCTCTGACTGGTAGTTTAGTGCAACTATTTTTTTTACAAAAAAAAAAAACGGTGTTATTACTTACTGAGTATGTTAACAACATTCTTGCTTGTAGAACCAAGTTAAAGGAAGGATATTTTCACATTTGACTTCTTAGATGCAAAAACTCAAATGTTTTATGAAAAAGAATTCTCTTATATCATATAAATCACAGCTTGAGGGAGAGAAGCTCTTTCAGACAACAGTCTGAACTCTGAAGTCTTCTTGCATTTGAGATGTTAAGCCCAAACCACAACATTCATTTCTTTTCATTTATCAGACAATTACTTGCATGTTTGAAGTAATTTATCTAGGTACCAACATAGACAGTAACTAGGAGGACTCAATTATCAGTAAAGTTGGACGAGCAGAGAACTCATAGTATTTTAAGGGGTGATTCCAGAGCTCCTATTAAAACATCCCTCCAAAAATGAAAGAAAAATAAACAAGTTTTCTTTCTGCTCACCAAGTTGGCAGCCAGCATTCCAGAATGGCTGGGGATTGTAGTTGCTGGAGTCCACCCGGTAAGAAGATGGGTAGATGCGGGACAACTGATGCTGATTGAAACGTAGATACTGTGCTGGCTTTTGCTGCAGTATCTGGTGGGCTTTTGTTTCACTGAAAGATGAAACCTGCCAGCTGGAAGAGACTACAAAGAAGAGAGGAAAAGATTAGAAGTAATGTCCTTATTTAGTTATTTATTACCTACTTAAAGCATTCAAAACTACATAGCACTAGTTCCTTGTAACTATCAAGCATCATTTGAATACATCCCACTCAGAGGGAACTGTGCTTTCCTTGTATTACAGCAAAATCATTGTGTTTATCAGAGGAGTTATGTTGGGAAAATGAAGCTGAACATAATGAATGACCTGAATCTTCATTAAGAAGTTTAAAAACAATACTTTTGGACAAGATTTTTGGAATTTGTTCAAGGAAAGTATGTTTTCTGGTAAGCAATTCTCTCTTTCTGACACTTTTAACTAAAACTTGATTCCTGTCAAAATAAGATGCAGAAAACTTAGAAAGAGGACTGAAATATTCTAGAAATGTAACACTGTTATTTCATCACATTTGACTTAAAAATCTGAACTTTATGCTTGAAATGCTCTTCAGACCATTCTGCCCAAGAGCATAACTAAGTC